TGCTGAGCTGTGGAGAAGGACAAAACCTTTTTTCCAGATGAAGATATGTGAGAAGCAAAGAAATCAGCAGAAGTCTTGGATTCCCGGCTAGCTTAACTGGAACAGCAGGGGGAAAAAATAATCTTTTTGTGTATAAACAGAGCTCACTCACTTTGGAAATACTGCACATTAATGCAACTGCAGCCTGAGATGCTGTTTTCTTAATGCAGCAGAAGCATCTAGAAATGTCAGGCAAGATTAAAGTGCTAAAACAGTAGCTCGCACAAGGGCTCATGAGACGTGGCCCTGCCCTGAAGACCAGCACTCTGAACTGGAGGCAAAGGGAGGGAGTCATTTAAGGTCAGAAACAAGTGAAAGCCCCCACTGGGACAGGCACAGAGCTCTCCTGAGTCCCTGAACTGTGCCTTACTCACCGGGGCATGCAGTTTCGATTTACTCTTTTCACTTCACTTTGAAGGAAAAGTATTCAGGGACAAAAAGCAACTGTCCTCCTCATTCTGCTAACAATTCCCTAAACCATGCGTACATCTGTACCACCTGCTCTGGATGACATTCACAGCTTAGAGGCTGGCAAAGGCTTGGGAAGACTGTAGCCAACTGAAAATGCCATGCTGTGTTCTAGAGACATCATTTTCCTGTGTTTTACACAGTCCTACCCTCTGTTACTGAAAAAAGGTCTGTGTGTGATTCAAGGTCAATTTGCTGCACAAAGGACTTGGGTTTCCTGTTATCAAGCCTAGACTTTCATCAGAATAAACATCCCCTTGCTGCACGTCCTGTAAAGAAATACAAGTAATATGACAGAATATACCATGAAATCTCTATGAGGGAAACCACTACCTTATTTCTGCCTACCCCTACCTTTTCCCGCTAACACACGTTTTCCCAAAGGCCAGGGCAGGTCTCAAGTGCTCTCTTCTAAATAGCAGTAACGGTCCTTAAACCTGCCTGCAATATGTTTAAGGGCAATATCCTCACAGTAACAAGATTCCCTCCTTAAAAATCTACTAAATGCGGRGCGAAATCCATTAGTCGTGAGACAAGAAAATGCCTGCTACACATGCACAGGGAATTATCAGCCTTTCCAAAAGTAGCTGTGCAAATTAAGAAGAGATAGTTGTATTAATCCTGCTATGCCTGGGCCATAGGATCCATGGAGATTGTGTCAAATCCATGGAAATTTTGCAGCCAGTGTCTTAAATCCATGGAAATTTTGCAGCCAGTGTCTTAAGAACTGTATTTTTTTTCTAGCATTTGAATGACAAATTTCATAGCAAGGTATTTAGAAAATATCATCAGATGACCAATATGAATGAACAAAACCAGCATGTTATTGAGGTTCGGGGAAATACCATACAAGTATGTCTGGCACACGGATACCCAGGGTGGTGCTTCCTATGGAAAACTCCTACGAGACTTTGGAATCTAAGTCTCAGTTTAAAGGAAAGATATACAGGCCCATTTGACCTAAATTAGTTTTGGAAACCACCTATGGAAAATGTGCCAACTCAAATGCAAATCCCCTCTTCTTCACCCCGTGATGACATGAAGAGTCTACTGCAATTTCACTCGGCCGTTAGCAGAGACGACTTAGCCCACCTACACGTGTGGGCGGGATGCCATCGGGGTGACTTTTCGCTTGATGTGCAAAGCTCTTGGCCCCCCAGAATGACTCGCTCGTGGCATGACAAATGCAGGCGCTCAACTGGAGCAGGCCACAGCCTCATACTTCACCTGCTGACTAACAAGGGAAACCAGAGAGCCTTCAAAAATTACTTTACCAGGCGAAATCCCAAGGTGGCAATCCCAAGGGACAGTTCTTCAGATGAAACACTGTACTGACRAAAAGCCCTGGTTATCTTCTGATCGCTTTCATAGCCAAGATATAGCCAAAAATGATAGCTTCTGTAGATGGCAGAGCAATGTGAGTTTGGCATTACCACTCCAGACAGAGGGCCTCTCCATTTTCCACTGAAAGCAGTGACAAAACTCTTAACTTACTGGTTTCGAGTACGAAAGAACTTGTACTTCTCCTCCTCAGGTGTTATGTTTTGTTTCTTCTTTCTGCTTTCCTTACAAAACTGAAAGTAGTGGCAACGGGGTAAGATGACTTCGTAGCCCACACGTAGCAGTGGAAAGCCCTAAACAGCGATCGGTTTTCAGGTGAAAATTGAATACTGACACCTGTCCACAAGATTACTGTGCAGCACTAGGAACCTGGGGTTATTTTCTTGCCGAGGACATTATATTTAAGGATGTGGTTGAGACAATGGTAAACATTTTCCGTTTGACTTCGGCTTGACTTTCAGTTTGAAACACAGATACTACCGTTCTTGTTAAACACTATCCCAGAAGTAAAGAATGATTTTTGGAAGTGCCACCAACCTGCATGCGGCTCGGCAGGTGCAAGGATACCCAGGGTGCCTCAATTACAAGTCTGCGGTCGTAAGAAAGGCACAAGGGTTCCTCTTCTCGGCTGAGGTTTTTCTGAAAACCCTGCAAAAGATTCACTTTCCCTTCACAGCCGCTTCCCAATATTCTGGTTTTTAAAAATCGCTTGCAATCTTAATTGCTGCTGCTATCTTTGACAAATCAAAGGGAGGATGTCTGTGATTCTTTGTATTACTCACTGTTATATTAGCACAAAGATCGCATATTCATTTATTTTGGTTTGAGAGGTAGCAGTCTCCTTTCACTGCACGCACGTAATTACTGTAAGTATTCAAGGGACTTGCCGAATGATGCACGGGGGGGCGGAGGAGAATCTTTGAAGAAAATTGTTCAAACGTAATTTAGTTCCCTAATTGCCAAGGGACCGTTACTAACGAATTGCTTCTGTTTTATGTCAGGAGTGAATCAGGTTGACGATGTGTAACATACATTAAGTCGGTTAATGAGTATTAACTAGAAATGTGACCGAAACACTAGAGAAAGGTTTTTTTACCTTTAGCTAGCCAAGCAGAATTGCTAATAAATAAAAGGGTATGTGTAAGTGGCTTAGATGATTCCAATCTGCAGTGGAAAGACTTTTCTTAGAATCTGATGGTAACCACAAGCTTGTGGGAAAGAAAAATCAGACGCTTACTGTGGCAGTTCATCACAACTAACTTTATTTCTAACCCGGCCTGAAATGTAAATGACTAAAAGCCATTACCGTAAAATAGCTGATCAGAAGCCAATGTGAAGTGAGACGGTGAGTCTCTGGCCATGGGTACAAGATGAAGACACTTTGCAGTTAGCTGTGCTGTGGATTTGCTCTGTGGCAGCTGTGTGCACCCTCTGACTACGTGGTGACACCGGAGCTCGCTCCACTTTCATTGCAGGGCAAGGCRCCTTGTGCTTTCCACTGTGCACAGAGCAAGTTAAGGTGCTAAGCTGCTCGTGCAGCCCTAATCCCAGCCTCACYTTTCTCCTGTGTGCATGACCCACCACTAGGTTAAGCCTTAAGGGCCAGGTAGGAGCTACTGGGCTGGAGAAACAGGGAGGGGAAACCCTCTGGTCACAGCAGGGCCATACTTTTAGGTCAAGGCAGGTCCTGAGCTGCTGCTGGCCTGTGACGAACGCAGCGCCCCGGTGGATGTGCAGGCGTGAGAGCACACATGGTTACAAAATCTGGGCAGAGCGAAGAATTCTGGTTTGCTCTGGCATGTGAACAAACTGGCTTATTAGGCCACAGGTGCAAAAATGAGAACACGGGACTGAAAACAAGGATAAAATGGAGAATTCTCATGTTCTACCTGTTTTGTGAAATAGGCATCAGGCCACAAAACCTGCCAGACACTGCTGCAGGCTCAGGGATAGTCAGTAGTCTGTTTGCCTTGGGCCAAGCAAGCCCGACTRTGGTACTGTCTTTTTAATAATAAATAACTCAGTCAGCCGCAAAATTCAATTGATCATTTAGGATTTTTTGAGTTAAAGAGTTATCTCTTCTCAGTAAGCCGGTCCTAGTCTGGCTTCTGATTCTTTCTTTGATGATCAACTACAGTAAAAGTACAAGAAAGGAAAAAAAAAAAAGCAGAAAGCACAAGAAAGACAAGAAATCTGGGTTTAAACTGAGGTCAGCTAGTCAAGTAAGGTAAATCCACACCTCCAGGGGCTTTTATCCAGTCAAGCAAAGGTTCACAGTTACAAGAGTGGAGAGGTTCCCAAATGCCAGGGCACCATCACAAGAAGACACCCTCATATTAACATTAATCCTAATAGGGAAGCTGCTATGTGCAGTGATGGCACTGAGGGCCAAGGCCAYGTGTGATTCTGTGATTCTACGTGTGAGGGTTAGATACTCACTAAGTGATCTTCACGGTCGTCTCTGCTGCTCTCTGCCATAGGCCACTGAGGAGACACCTTGCATCTGTGTTGCAATGCCTCTGGTTATTTCAGATAGGCTACATTTTTGGGGCAAAGAACTGCGGAATTCTAGCACTTGTACTTCCCTGTCACTGTAGGACCTGAATGTTTTAGACAATCAAAACTATTGGGAAGAGGGTGCCTTTCAATACCTTTGTTGTTCACATTTCTTTTTATTGTGTGTGTAAAGTAATGGAACTGCTGTTCTCTAACAACTTTTAAAAATGCGTAAGACAAGTTAAGACCATTTTGCTCCTCTCACTCTAGTAATATCCCTTAGGTCTTGACAGAATGCCAGGTAATCTCCATGACACCAAACACACAGTGCTCTTCTTCCAATGTATTCCTATATCCCTTATTTTATTGTTGTGAATGTCCTTACCTGTACGTGCAGTAATAAGCTACCTTTATCAAAGCGAAGTTTCAGAACTGCTGTATTTCAATATGATTTATATCATGTAACTGTCTGAGCCCCTTGATATGTGATGGGTTGCTGCTTTAAAAATAAGCTGATAATACAGTCATAGCAACACTATTTGCAAAGTCAGAAAAGAAAACATTCAGCAACAGCAGAAATTGCGTATAGATTATTTTATCTCTGTGTTCAATACAGATAAAAACCTGTTTTTTGAAGAAAAATCTATGCTCCGGAAATAGTAGATACGATGAAGTTAAGCACTGTCTAAAGAATCATGAGACTGGTTGTTCGTAGGCATTGATACCTCAGAGTTTATCTTGAAATGCTGCTATTAATATTCATGACTGCCCAGGACTGTCCAGCCACARAGGAGCAAATTCAGCCAGTGGGTTGTGTGTTGGTGTGTGTGTGAGAGAGAAAAGGAAGCACACAGACACCATTCATATGGAATCATGGCTCCTCAGCTTTAGAACAAGAAATACTGTTTATCTACATTGTCACAAATACCATTGCTTGTTGTCTCCTTGCAACCGAAAGTTTACACTAGACAAATATTCAAAAATACATGTGGAACGTGGAGAGTTAAACATGAGAACAGAGTAAAGGCTTTTACTAGTGAGATGACAATAAGAAGAACTCACACCTTCTAAAACGTATTGTGTGTCAGAACGAACATCATTTCCTGCCTTCCAGAAGCAGCTTCTCTGGTTCACTGACCTTCCTTTTCTTCTTGGGTCCTATTACCTCTTCCTGGCTAAACGCAAGGTTCAGGCAGCTTATCTGTAAGAACCATCAGAAAGAGTGATCATTCTCACGGTACAGACTCCTGCTACATGAGTCAAGAAAACACAACTTCCATAACTAGAGCCTCTTTTCCTGGATGTCCTTGGGTTTGTCTAATATTATCCTGTTCTCCACAAAAGTGATGAGGCAAGAAATGAAAACTGAAATCCTGAGAAATCGGGACTGTAAGACCTGTGAAAGCAACAGGTTCAGATTCAGGAAGTGGGAATGTTTTTGGTGGCACAAGGAACAGTATTCATCTCCCTAGTGTTGAGAGAAATAGAAGAAGCAAGGTCTTTGAGAAATGTATCGTCTTATAAGGCAGAAGCCCTTTTCACCAACTTCAGATAATCACACAAATATTAAACATAAGGGGATCTCTAGGAACAGCTTCACTGGAAGTGACAGAAGACAGAGAGTATAGTACCTGTGTTTGTACATCTCAGTTTGCAGAAAACATCCAAGCAAAGCAAGGTTTTTACTCAAGAGACTTGCCTTTCTTTACTAGAAAAAACAGAAACCTTCCTCAAAAACATTTAAGGGCCTGCAAATCAGGAAGGACTGAAAAAGACTGCTGTATATGTCAGAATACATGTGGGCAAATGGCACAGAACACATACATCAGACAGAGCACAAATAGCTGGACACGCAGATAAGCGCAACGGTCACTTGTCCTCCTTAACTGCCCAAATCCCTTATGCTCACTGCCACACGACATAGTTGCATGGCTTGTGCAAAACAGTGTTGAGCTGCAGGGAGTAACCTGTGTTCCCACCCTCCCAAGAAGGACAATGTGCGGAGTCTGGCGACGTAACCTGGTTTGCTCCGACTGAAACTCAAGTAAAGGGACATAACACAGTGCTCCGCTTCCAGTTTGCCAAGAAAAGAAAGTCTATTCGGATTAAACTAAGCTGAATAAAGAGGTAAATCAGTGCTGATAAAGTTCTAAAATAGGAGTAGTTTATTCTGGTTCCACCAAAAAGCAGGAGGGATCCTGAAAGTGAAGCAGGATAAATGCAAGACGTAGATAACAAGCTATTCTGGAACACATCTTGGCTATGAGCACAAGGTCTCCAGATTGCAAAATGTGGTCATTACAGACCTCCCCACACACGTCATCAAGGCTTCCTTTCTATCTGTCCTTGGGAGGAGGTTTTGGTAATCTCTACATAGTGATGGGCTTTCTAATGAATGAAATAACACCGATAATGATTAACAGCAAAACAGTTTGAAATAACCTCAGGCCTCCTCTCTATCAGGTTTCAAACTGTTTCTATTTCCCTCTCTTCCCTCCTCTTCACTGTAAGCAACGCAATATTGGTTAACACAGAAAGTACAACTTCCTTTCAATAAAACCAGGGGAAAACAGAGTCTGCCAGAGGGAAACAGGCAGATTCTGCTTCATGTTGCAAATCYAAGCTGACAAATCATCCAGTGCTGTCCGAGCTGTATTTGCTTGAGGAAAGAGTGACGAGTGGGTCTGAGAGTTACAGCTCTTGTCCTGATATCCAGCTGCCGAAACTGGCATTTCAGGCAGTTATTTACTTGCCTCTCCTTGGCATCATTTTAAGCAGTCTGCTTCCTTTTCTGAAGTCAAGGGCGCAGCGGGGAGAAACGCTGCGTCCACAAACGCTCCAGGGCTGACACGGCTGCAGGGTCTGCACGCACGAGAAAGCAAAAGCAACGATCCCYGGTCCCGAGGCCTCAGGCACCCCAATAAGAAAACCCTCCTTCCCATTTCGGTCTATGCTGCGCATCTAGAGCTAGTGCTTTTATTACTTCTGCTGAGGAACAGACCTTACGCAGCACAGCTRTCTGGTAAAGTACAAAACAAGTACTTTTTCACTTTGTCTCGTCKTCACCAGGTAGTTGGCTCTGCTGCATAAAATCTGTCACCAAGTGATCTAGACCAGCATGATTTGTATATTGAAGAGATGTTGTTAAACGTCAAAACCACCAGGTATTTCACTGAAGGCAACGTGTCCCATCCTGCTCCTGCCAACTGCAAGTTAATGCAAATTCATACAGAGATTCAGAGCCAGGAACAGACCCCAAGTGCAATCTCCACGTCCCATCCTTAACCACACACTCAAGTTTCTTCCCCAGAACTGTGGCTCTAAACGGGCTTGTGTCAGATCCTATGCCTGTTTGTTTGCCTTTAACCAGAAAGTAAACCTCTTAAACAATGTGGTATAAAGCAGGAAATCCCTCCCCTTGATTAAACACACAAACCAAAGCCTCTAGAAGTTGATTAGTTGTAATTACTCACATGCACTGGGGTGCCTGCCGTAGAGTAACTGATGTGAGAGCTTGGGCTCCATTAATGTTCTGTGTTTTTTTGTTTTGTTTTGTTTTGTTTCTTTGTGGTGTTTTCTTTTGTTTGCTTGTTTGTTCTTGTCTTACACAACCACTACAGGCCCTTGGCTTCTTGGAGGCCTCATGGAGCCAGATGGAAGTATGCAGGACCAAGCCCTGGCCCTTCCAACCTTTCCCTGGAAAGGGACAATATTGACAACGGGCTGGGAGGACAAGTTCAGATCACGGAGCAAAGTCAGGAACAGATCTTCCACTTCCCAGCCCTCAGTCCAAGGCCTCGTCCTGGATRTAGGCCACACCACGAGCATACCAACTTTGAAACTCACGTGTTCTATGATATTGTGCTACATGTAAAAAATGTAATTTTTGCTATAGAAATTTTTAGTGAGATTACAGCTAAGTTATGAATCATACAAGTGTTACTAATTTCTGGCATAAAACTAACARGACAGCTGCACATTGTCTGGAGAAGATATCAGGCTAAAAATAGATTAGATTTAGATTAAAGCCTTCCCAAGACAGACTGGTGGATGAAAYAGAATGAGCAGACCATGGCTATACTGCTATTCTTAGATAGGCCAAGTCAAAACCTAGTTTTGTGCTCTGCAGCTTTCTATCCCGTGTCCCCATGTATTCTGGCCAAAAATTCCCAACATAAATTGAAGTGAATTTACTGCTCTTTTGACATGTGTTTTGCTTCCCATTCTATGCAGAAAAGCTAAAAGAGCATAAGAGCATTTGACTGTGTCCCGCCTTTGTCCCTGGCCTGCCCCGTGCTGAGGTTTGGCACTTTGCAAATTTGATGCCCTCAGCAGAGCTCCCTTTGTTGGGGACCTGGAGTTTTTTGCTTGCTGAGGTGTCTTGCAACTATCTTGACAAGTTCGCAAGCACATTAATGTCAAAGAAGTCCAGTCCAGGAATAAGGTCAGAAAGAATGAAAGATTTGACTCGTGAAATAAGGCAAACGGATCCTCAGCTGTCATGGTAGCAAACAGTATCTGCAGGAGATATTTATCATCGCTGAGAAACTTTAATCAGAGAGAGAACCAGGGCATGATGCATCCTGCGAGTTCAGCTGCAGCTAACGTTGACTTAACAGCACAGCAAATGCTTGCCACTTCCACAAATGAAGCCAGTGGCTCTTCAGTGCAGTCCCCCAAACCTCAGGCTTCCCTCACAGACATTTTTTTTTTGGCTGAAGGGCAATAGTTCTTATCTGCTCACTGATAAATTGCGGCTCCATGCTCACAAAACACAGCAAAACCAAGGCTCTTCTCAGTGGTGTCCAGCGAAAGAGCAAAAGGAAATGGGCACAAATTGAAATACAAGTCATTCTATTTAAGTGTAAGAAAAAACTTTTGGACTCTAAAAGTGATCAGATATTGGAATGGGCCATGCAGGGAGGCTATGAACCTGACAGGACATGATCCTGAGCAACCTGCTCTCTCCTCTACTCAGATCTGAGCTTGCGGGGTGGACCAAATCGTCTCTGGTGGTCCCTTGCAACCTCAGCAATGCTGTGATTCTGTGAAGGGGGCACAGAGGACAAAAGCTCCAACGCAGCGCTCAGCACTGATCTCGTATCAATTTCCAGAAAAGCTACTGCACTGACATCAGTGGAATTAATCCTGATTTTCATCTACACAACTACAGCAGAATCATACTGGTTAGCACGAAAGCCAATTTACGCAGGTGGAAGAATGAAAGACGCTCACTGTGGTGCTCCTGTGGAAACTTGCCATGCCTGTGTCCCCCAGGAAGCCATGCCAAGACATCGCTGACTGCAAAGAGACGTCTTCCTTTCCCAAAGTWCACAGTCAAAATCGCTGACATTCAATGCAATTTCCTTTTCAGCAAACTGGAAGTCTTACAGACCTGCTCTCTATTTTGCAGTGTTTCGTGTAGTGATTAAAGTACTAAAGAACAGATTTTTACACAGAATGTTAAAAAAAGAAAAAAAAMCAAAAAACTGAGGAAGACCAATCTCTCTCCTTAAAAACCTCCATCGGAGCCCTCAGTCAGACTGTGAAATACGTGCTAGCCATTTGGCCTGCAGGACCACAACCCAGTTTTCCAATATGCTTCCCAAAGCGGGAAGACTTCTCCTCATAAAGCTAGAACTGTACTGTACAGAACTGTAACTGATTTGGTGAACAGTRATTGTCACTCCTTCTGGCTACTCGCTGTTGCCCAGCTTTGTCCCCRCCCCGCTCCAAATATGAGATTTGCCAATCTTAATTTATGAAGATTTCTGTGGAGCAGCTGGCTGCTGACATGTGCACGAGGAGCTTCAGGCAGTGCCGAAGTTCTGGCTAATCCCACAGATGTCTCTGGAGTGGCTGGAAGGGAATTAGAGGGCACAAGGGTTAAACCACACCAGATCTGACCAAGGGCATGAGCCTCACCTTTGAATGAAGAGATCATTAGGAAACTGTTTCCTGTATGCTAGACAGGAATAACTCACGCAAAGGATGAATAGCCCCAAGATACAGCTAAGGATCTGATGCAAATTGAGAGAAGTCAGGAATTTCCTGACCTCACTGTCTCACTCCTCCCGTAATGGCCTGAGCTAACAGGAAGGAGAGAGGCAAGCTCATCTCTGAATCTTTCTCTCTTCATTGTTTGGGTCTGTGTAGCCTCAGCTGTGTTGGAGCAGAAAATGTTCTGGGAACTTCTCATCAGATACAGTTCTCTTGATAGACAGTTAGAGATAAACTTTTCTTTTTTTTTCTTTTCTGCAAAAGTTCAAGATAATGACATTGCCACAGAAAAATGTTTTCCTCTTGTTCTGCAAATGGCAGACTTCACCCTTTTACTGCTTTCTGTCATGGCAATTTTAAGAGCGGTTTGCCTGGCAATAGGGACAGATGCTCCTCAGAACGTGCTGTCCCTGAAAGCCTGTGTTCACACCAGCTTCCAGCCCTGACACAGTCTCTCAGAAGAAGAGGGGATGGCCAGGTACTCAGGACACCTGCACTGGGTCTGGATCTTTAGGGAGCACTAGCTAGAAGCCAGCCAAGCTACCTCAGAGGTCTAAAGCTGCGCTGATTTACAACGTTTCAGCATCTCAACCACTCCTTAGATATCTAACTTTTAGACAGCTGCAGTCAAAGAGAGCTTATCTATATGCTGGGAATATACCTATACCAGACAGTGACTTGCAGCACGAAGACCCCTGAGCTACCCTCAGCTAAAAACACTACATCCACACAAGGACAAGTGCCAACGCACTTCCTAACGTCCSAAAGTGGTCTAGCAGCCTAAGTGTGGTGTCCAGCCCGGCCAAGGATGCTCAGCCAGACACCCAGCACGGACAGGTGACTTGTGCTCTGCTGATGGAGCCGTATCGCTTCCAGCTCTGGCAAGGGCGAGATCAGAGGCAATTTGGAGGCAACTCAATTATTCATTGTGTGTGACCATGTGTGACCATGCCCTGAGAGCCACCCCAGAACTTCATCATGCTGTGAGATAAAATCTGCAGGCACATCCCCATGGTCAGCTTCTACTCATCTTCTAGGACTATTTCATTCCAAACTCTTTCCATCGTAACATGTTTGCTYATGTGTAGACCAAGCTGACAAAAAAACATTTTGCAGGACAAAAACATTAAAAGATTTCCGAGAGGGTAAAGGAGTGTGCCAAAACCTTCAAAATGTTATCTTCGGTGCAGGATGCAGCAGCTCCCTCTTTTACCTAGCTCTTTGGGCTGCAACTCCTAGAACACCAGTGGCAACTAGGAGGACACATAYGGGCAGCACAGTGGGCTAAACCCCTGCCTGATGCAATCAGAAAAACTCTACTGAAGGCAGTAGAGTAGGCTAATTTTCATGCTGGTGTCTAACTCTGGATGATTAAGCGCAGAGATGTTTTGCTGGGAAAGGGCAATCTCTCACTTGATCCTAAGTATCATCAATAGACTGCAGGTAACGAGCAGGTTGGGTACAGGCAAAGTTTTCTCCAGTCGGAAAGGCTCCCTGTCAGAGTATCTCCATGGCCATTTGGAAAGTCCAAAGACCGTTCTACCTGCACAGGAATGGCTTTTTCTCCTTTGGAAGGTAGGCATCCTTTGTTTCATCCATATCCTACAGATAACATAAAGCTTTTAATACACTAATTCCTGCTTTTACTGAAGCACTATAAGATGACCAATTAACTTAGTTCCACCAGTGCCTTTTTTCTTTTTGATGAGCAAACCAGAAAGACAAAGAGCAGGTAACATGCTGTTCTAGACTTCTAAAAGCTGCTTGGGACTGTGGATACCACATTTCTGAGTTCAGTTCTTTCTGAATATCAGATCCTCATACCGATTCCCAAATCCTGGACACTCCAAATTTCTTTAGTTACTTCTGGAAATCTTGGCCTCAATGTTTATGTTATAGCTTCAGGAGTTTCTTTGAACATTTACCCAGTAAGAAAATGGCATTGCTTTACTGCACTATAGTCTGGACATCAACAAACTGTTCTCATTCACACCCCAAAGGGACGGCTTCATCCATCTAACCTACATTTGACCCTGTTAGATAACACCTGACTTAGACTTCCCATCCACACCCACCTGTCCTCATTTTTAAGACAAACTTCTCTCCACAGTTTGGCTTCCTGATACAAGCGGAATACACAATGGTCATTTGTTTTCCCTGCTTCCTCAGAAAAGAAGGGAAAGTTGCTCTCATATGGAAAGCAATGTTGAATTTTAATTAGCAATGGCTTTACCATAATCATCTGCACTTTTTAACTAGTAACCTGATTCAAACTTTTCCTCAATTGACCAAAGTATTATCCAACTTTTACATGCTGGTTTTAAAAATAGTAACAAAAAAATCAATAGAGAAACCTTCTGCCAGACAGAAGGCTTTTTTTTTTCTTTCTTTTTTGTCTGTAAGTCTTTGGAAGCATACAATGGATAAAGTGACTTTTCCGTTTTTCAGTACTAACACTGTTTCCACCACCTTCAGAAACTCTCACTATTGCTCCCGTATTCTAATGAAATTCACATGCAGCAGGAGGGAGGTATCTGGTGCTCTGATCACAATCATGACAGACCGAAAGAATGTCAGAGGATGATTCAGTGGCACAGCCATGAGCTACAAACAGAAAAGGCTCCTGTTTTCACACAGACGACAGAATAAACAATGATCAGAAGGAAACTGGAGGATGTGACAAAAAAAAAAAAAAAAAAAAATGTGGTTAAAGTTTGAAAAATACCAGCCTGGGCACAGAAGTTCATTTCTAAGATCCCTAGTCAAGGCAAATACTTCAGAGATGCCTTTTGAATGACACGTTAAGTTGCAGTCTCCAGTTGCTGTCTGCGTTAGACACCCCATGATTCTTTTCAACAGAAGCAGGGAAAATTTTAGTAGGAATTTCCTACTCTCATTAACTTACCCTGCAAAAATGTAATTTCTGAACATCCAGGCTCACAAGATTTTCAACTAATTTGCATGGGAACAGCAAGTCACTCCAGTGGGATTCAGAGATTTGCTCTGTCACTGAACAAACCTCGGCAAATACCCACGAATTTGAGCTCTGATTCTGACTCAGGGTTTGGCCTGGACAGCSTCAGGATGGAATTAATCTCACATAACTTTATTTATCTAAAATTACATGTCTGGTCCATGCTAGTTTTCTGGGTTGCCCCAGTAACCACTGAAACAAGATCAACATCTCCAGAGGACAAGGATATCCTAGAGGATAGCCCAAGAGGGGCCAGATCCAATCACACCTGTGACTCATCCGTAAAGACAGTCTGGAAGCATGAGAGGAGAGGTGAAAACTATTTCAAGCAACAGATGCAACACAGCCCTCAACCCTTACAATGGGGTAGGGATTTCAGAACCCTAATCCAAAGAGGCATACAGGTAAAACAAACTGGTTGTGCCAATGCTGAATTTAATTTGTGTGTACCAGCATGGCATATCTTAGAGCCATTTCAACTTGCTCACCTGTGGAGATGCCCTTGAGCAACACGTTTTGCTTGTCTCTTTGATTCTCGTCCTCTCCTCTCCACCTACGATCCAAACATCATATCAAAAATAGCTCTAAAGGCTAAATCCTGTATTTCACTGAAACAAAATCTAGAAACATAAGCAATATTTTACAGGGAAATCTCAAAATAATTTCAAGAGCAATTTTAAAATTTCAGCATGTTCATCTGAACATCAAGTGAACTTGCAGCAACACCTACCCATTTATTGATACTTTAATTCATTTTGCAGTCCCATTTCCTAAAGAAACATGGCTTATGCCAGTAAACACTCTGTGTAAGTGTGTGTGTGTCTCTGTGCACATAAGAAGGGAGCTATCCCTTGACTGGTAACTATTGACCTAGTTAGACAGTTTTAACAAAATTTAATAGAGATCCACAAGTGTCCCAAGTTCAGAGTTTCATGAAAGCAGGATGTTAAGGACAGAGATTCCACAGTGGGATCTATATGTGTAACGTAAAATTTGGCAATATGAGCTCACTCCTTATTAGACATGAGGCAATCTGCAGGAGAAAGACCTAAACAGGTGACTCTATAGGTAGACCCAATTTTTTTATTCTACTGCTTGGAGATTCCAGGAATGCTATTTAGCATTTTGTCACTAGATGGTATTGTTCCACAAGCTATATTTGAGCCTCAAAGGTCAAATGTAACATGGCATATCAGAAGGCAGATTTATTGAGGTGACAGAGAGGGTGCTTTCTTCACGCATGTTCATGTTCGTTTTCATATAGAAATAGTATTAGCAAAATCAAWCTGTACCACTAAAGGAAAAGAGTTTTGGCAAAAATGTATATAATGTAACTCAGAATTGACGAACTATATATCTTCTTCATATCAGGAAGAAAAAAAAAAGGCTAAGAATAGAGGTGGAAAATTATTCATTAAAAAAAAGACTACATCTGTTAATAAAACAAATATATACAAGGAGCCCTTTAGTATAGTTCAATCTGATCTGATATAAAATTAAAACAGTCTGACAAATTCTGTTTAACCATTTCAAAATATTACGCTAGGATGTTATGAGCACAAACTCCTTCATTTTCAAAACTGAGCCTTTACCTGTATCCCGAAGGCAAAAAGAAGATGCTTCAGTTTTCCAGCTTGGATGCATGTCATTTTTGTCCTCTCCATGCCCACTTGAATCTGCTCTGGTTGGGAGAGGGTTATTCTGTAAAGTAAATGATGCTTCTTCTTAATAGCCTAACCTAAAAAAACAGGCCTAAGTGGTAAATCCATGAATTCAGCACTAATAGGAATGAGATTTTCAAGATCCCTCAGCTCCCAGGTCTTTCTACACCTAAGCTGTCAGAAGTCTTTCATAAGAAGAAATTTACTGAGAAAATTCAGAAAATTCTGTCCTAAGTGGCTTCCTGCCTTGAAAAGTCAGTTACACTGGGGCTTGTTCCCTGGCACTGACTACCTAAAATGTAATTTTCAGGTCTGAGCTACTGGTTCAAGCTCTCTGTCATTTTGAAATAAGACTCAATCAGGGGACAATCTCAAGTCTACCTTGACACCTAAAGAAATGATCTTAACTGCCTGCTAGAGGTATCTCCTACAAGAAGCACAGAGGAGGCTAGAGAATTGTTTAGGCACGAGGTTTAAGTAGCGAAGGGTAAGTGAAGTTTAGGTGGTTAGATTTTGTTTCAATGAAGTTTAGATAGCTAAGGGTAAGTTTAGGCAGGAAGTTTAGATAGCTAAAGGTAAGTAGCTAAGGGTAAGCTAAGGGTAAGTGGGAGGAATCCCACCTAAACATACAGTGGAATGCTGCTTAACCCAGAGAAAGGCCAAGGAGAAAGGCTGCACTCCATGCTATGGTCTCCATTTTGTGCCTGGCTGTAGAGAAGTGTCTATATRTGTTGTGTCTCTCCATACAATCGCTGCCCCCTTCTGGGGAGACCATACTTGATTCCATAAGTGAGTGGAAATGCTGGGGTGAAAGTCATTTGATGCCTATGGAATCCCAGCCTCAGCATTCAATAGGCTACTCTACCACAAGCTGAAACCATTATTAGATGAGGCTATAACTTGGATTGTTAGAAAATGCTTATTTTTTTAGGATAACTTCGTTAGCTAGACACTACCGCTCCAGTAAGAACCAAACGGAGCTATCTCAATACCTTTGGGCTTCCCTCCTCTTCCTCTTCATCACAGTCTAATCCTYGATGGGAGATCTCCGTAGGGCCATTCTTCTGCAGCAGCCTGCTTTCAACTGTCCCTATTCTCTTCTTTTCAGTTGTTACTCTCACTTTCATGAGGTGGAATCCAGTGGAGACTGACCCCACTTTCAGGTTGACAGGATCACCATCAAAGAGCAAATTACCGCAGCTGCTGTCTTCCTTAAAGCCAGGCGGCTGGTAATCCTCAGGAGTTACTACACAGGGAAGAAGAACACATTGCTGTCAGAGAAAACAGGCTCCATGTCTCTCAAATGCACAAAGAACCAGTTTATACCTAGTAGTAGGGCCAGCTCCTAAAAATATTCTGGTTTTGGGGGAAGAGGGAGAATGCCAAGGAAATTTTTACTAAAACGGATTGAGAATGCTCYGTGGCTTGTGTGGCTGCTATCTGGAAACGTGCAACAGGTTAGTGATCTTGTAGAAGCCTCCCGTCTAGTGTTCAAAAGCTCAGGGGTTCCAGAGAGACTCAAGGTCAAAGGCTCCAGCCTTAAGGAAAGGCTGGGAATTCTAGTCTGCAGACTGCTAGGCAAGAAGGCAAATCTCATAATGACCCTCATTCCGAATTTAAAAAAAAAAAAAAAAAAAGGAACTGAGCACATGCGGCCAAGAGCCTCAAAGAATTAATAACTATTAATAACTTCAGGACATTAAGATAGCATCAACGTTCTCGCCCCTCTGAAGTAAAACCCATCTAACACAGTATATCTGTTTCTCAAACTACAAGAAAAGAAGATACCTCCTTTTCACGCTGCACACCTGTTCTTAAACAGAAATCTTTCTTAAAAGGCATCTGCAACTCCAGCTTGTCAGAAGGCATTATTATATTTCACACCATTTCTCACTGTATCATAATACTTTCTACCGTTTCACCTTTCTATGTTGTACTTCTTTTTTAACACGGGCTTGGGTTTATCATAGAAGTTGATGGAAGGTTTCACCACAGCATACTCTGTTCTCCACCTACCATCATTGTAATAGAGGAGTTTCATAGTCAGGTTAATGTCATTGGGCAGCGGCTTGAGGTTTTGCATTAACAGGTACAGTTTACGGATCAGGAGACTGCTGGCTTTTTTAACCTCCTCACTGCACACCTTGTTCACGCAGTTCATTTTGTTGCTGAAAAAGAACAACAATGTCGTTCGAAACAAAAAGACTATCAGAGTTGTTTACCCCAGTGGTGAATATTCAAGACCTAATTACAAACACAGAGCACCCATGGAATTGTCTGAAACCAACGGCAGCAAAGGTACAATGCCTTCATGCAACTTCTAAATAAACAGGGAAGTGAAACAGATTCCAAGGATGTGGTGGCATCAGCAAAACAACAGCTCTAAACTCAGAGGTATGGCATTTACATTTGAACAGATTTTGTAGCTGGGGCAATGTACCCCATTATACAAGCGCCATGACTCACTCGTTTAAACATGATTAAATTGGATCAAAAGGACCATAAAACAAGTGCTTTTCACCTAAGCAATTTGAGGAATGAGAGGAATGGGGTGAGAAGCCCATATAAAGCCAATTCATCACAGTGGCTGTTTTCAAGTCCATTTTGCAGTTTTAAGGGAAGTGAATTGCATGTTCTCACTCCAATGCCATATAAGAAAAACTAGTTCCGAGGCACATTTTTCAAAAGTGACTAAGGGGCATTCCTCTCACCTCCTTCGCCCATCCAAATGCCAGTTGGCTAGTCTCAGCAAGCAGTCTAGACCGAGATAAACGTACAGTAGAGGTGGGATGAATCGCCCTCCGGAGGAGTTTGTTTCTCTTGACTACAGTGGGAAATGAGATGAGCAGCTCAGACCATACAGCTAACTCTCAACAGCTGAAGCCAGACTAGATGAATCACTCYGTGACTAAAGAGCCTACACACTTCGTTGACTTGCAATGAGGTCTTAAAACGTAGCTTCTACATCACAAAAAATGCCACTGAAAAGCCACTGGCAGGCAGGTGACCTAACACACAGGCCGGATGGACTCTAACACCATCATCCCACATGATTATTCCACTAAGCAATCTGAGATGGCAGAAACAGAATCCCCWGGCTGAATGTGACTAAGTCACCGTAAGGAACAGCTCCATTAAGATGGACAGGCTCTCCTAGCTCAAGCTTTTAGGCTCATCTTATTGAACAGCTGGTGTTCACAGAGTAATAGGTTATAGTTTGGCAGACTCCCTACTGTCAAAAGTGAAACTCTTTGCTGAACCCACTGTACTAGTAATGAAATCCTGTATGTTCAGAAATGGAGGAAAACTGCTAGTACATCAAGTGAGAGGACCACTGCTGGTTAATAACTAGATCAGAGTAATTGGAAGAAATTGTTTTTTTTTTTTTTCCTGATACATCATCTTTGCAAGTCTTGGGAGCAGTGGGAGGGGGATGATAGGGCAAAGAATATCTGCAAAAAAAAAAAAAAAAAAGTGATGGTATCTCCTGTGAATTAAGAGGTGAGGTACTGTACCTGTATGGGAAAAACATTCTGGATGTGAACCAGAAATGATGCCAAAAGGTAGTAGCTGGAGAATTGCACCTCTTTGAGGGCCTGGGCCTCACCATGAGTTCCTCCTCATGGTGAGGAACTCAAAAATAAAATCAACATAAAAAGCAGAAATCTGGCAGAAAATTTCCCTTTACCATGCAGATGTGAGGATGGAGACAAAACACAAAAGTGGAATGACTAATTCCAAGTTTTCCTGTGCCAATAAATCTTGCAGGTATATAGAAGCGGTTTTATCAAAAGCAGGTGATGCCACTGGTGATGCCACTCTCACTCAATCAGCAGTGCCAGTGCCAGAAAGTCAGTCCACTAACGACTGCAGGTCCTGCAGGATGCTGCCCTCACAGTGTCAGTCACTGTGGAAACTGCACAGAGCCCTTTCAGAAACAGCACAGCCCTTTCTTGGTCAGCACTAGGGACATCAAGGCATGCTGCGTTCCTTTGGGAGACTGTTGTTATTACCAGGAGTCAGTGCCTCATCTTAATAAAGTGGAGCAAAAAAAAAAAAAATCAGAACATGCAAAAGTCATATATTATTTTTCAGATCTTCTCTTTCCCTCAGTATAGYAAGGACACTTGAAAGCTGCTTCAAAGCTGTAACAGATAGCGTGGTGAACAGGACACCCCAGACTCAGATGCAATCAACAAGTATTTTCCAAAAAGAAAACAATTTAGATGGGTACAATGAACCATTTGGATGTGTTCAGAGAAAGAGCAGCAAATGGCACACTACAGAGGGGTGCTACAGAGCTGTTTCCTGATGAGCATTAAAGGCAGCAGAGCTGATCTGATTAAGAAGTGATCTGATTAATCTGATCACTGAGTGATCTGATTAATCTGATCACTGAGGAGTGATCTGATTAATATGTATAAGTGATCTGGTTAATATGTATAAGTACATGAAGGGGGAATGAAGGGAGGAAGGGGCCAAGATCTCAGTGGTGGCCAGTGGCCATGGTGCTGGCCGGTAGCCTGGTGGCCCAGGACAAGGAGCAATGGGTGTAAGTTGAAACAMAGRAAGTTCCACCTGCATGTGAGGARGAACTTCTTTACTGTGAGGGTGACAGAGCCCTGACCCAGGCTGCCCAGRGAGGYTGTGGAGTCTCCTTCTCTGGAGGTCTTCAAAACCCACCCGGATGCCACCCTGTGCCACGTGCTCTGGGTGTCCCTGTGTGTGCAGGGGGTTGGACTAGATGATCTCTAGAGGTCCCTTCCAACCTTAACCATTCTGTGGCTATACCCAATGGCCAGTGACAGTATTTATTTTACACTACACAGAAYAGAGATTTACTAAACAGAGCTTTGAACTATATAAAACTTACAGAAAAGATGCAAAGAGCTGCAGCTTCTGACCATGCACTTTGCAGCTTTAATTCAGATATGTCTGGCTGAAGATCTCCCAGTTCATACACACAAGACGAGAACAGCACGATATGAGTACGCTCAAGGAAAAAATTCATGGGTGTGGGATTTTGGCAAAAGTGATGAAACATGGAAAAGCTGCTTTTGAAAGCACGAGGCTTTCTTGACAAACTCAAAGAACACTATTAGCTGAGACTGCAGCAAACTCAACTGTGCCAGTTTCTGCAGTGCTACACTGATTAGGCATAGCTTCCATAAACGACCCTTAATTCAGTTGTGATCTACTGTAAATTTCTTAGTGTGCTGTGTAACGGCATTTCTATTCATCAGCTCAAGAGTTCACATCCTGTGGAGTGAATGTCCTCAACTCTGATGATATTTAAATCTGTTTAGTGACTCAGACAGCTACGTGTTATAATCATAAAGAGCAGTTTCTTCTCCAATAAAATACAGTTTTCACGGTGTAAATCTGAAAAGTAAATCCAGACCATTACCTGATGATGTCCATCTGGGGCCCATCCTTTTTGTACTTGAACTTGAACTGATACAGTTCAGTCACTGTCTAGAGATAGGGAAAAAAACAAACAGGTCTTTCACTAACAAGTCTAGAAGATGCATTGAACTTTGAAGTGTCTATCATGTCTTAGCTTTATCAGACCATAGCATTAATTTAATGACATAACTAAAGATTTAACTCAGTTATGGCACAGCTTTTGGCAAACTTCCCTAACAAATACAATTTACCAAGCACTGAAAGAATCACAAAAAATATATATATAAATTTCCTTCTTCCTCCTTYCACTGCCTCTGTGGGCTTCACTCTCTTACCTAAATGTCTAATGAGGCACTGGGGCCAGCTAATGATCCCTTACTAAGGGGGAAAACATGAGGCCTCAGGGGTTGTGCAGTATTACTGGGCTGCCTGGCCTGGAGTCCTGTACAGAGACAAGGGCTTCAAGGGCTGTTCTTACTAGAAAATGCAAAATTTCATATTCAAAAGACTATAAGCTTCTAAATTTCACAGAAATCTCAGAGTTTTCTGGGAGAGAGAAAGAAAATTGTAAATGATTTGCTATGAGTTTAGAAAATAGTTATGAAGACTAATTCAACACAAGAGAAGRATAGATCACAGCCCATTTCCATGCCTATAATTCCCTTTTATCACTGACAATGAGGTTGATTATTGGAAACTGAGCTCTTAATTTTCCAAGTCAACTTTACAAATGCCAGCCTTGGTAGCCATTCTTGTGAGCTAAATTCTTTCCTCTTTCCCAAGACGCTGAAGCAGAAAGCAGCAGAACTGTAACCTGGTAGGCAAAAATTCTGCAGCTCTTGCTATATGAAGACAGAAGGGATGCAGAACCTCTGTTTATATATTACGCTATCTAGTCTGTCTTCCACAGGCTACATGTAGACAAAACAAGAGAGACAGAAACACAGTGGAGAGGGACACTGAAGAGCAAAGCACATGCATCACGGGACATAAACATCCCAGCTCAGAAATGCTTCAGAAATTCTCTCCTAAACCTCCCTGCACCAAAAACGAGCTCCTTTTAACAGGACTGTTAAAAGGGTGGTTCAAAATAGACTGGTTTTGAACTTCCCAATTCTTCTCATGCCCATTAGCTGCCTGTTAACATTGCTCTCTGAGGCCCAAGATGGGCCCACAGCACAGCGCTCAGTAGGAGTGTTTGATCACAATCCAGCTCACTGAGTTGCCATTCAGGAGTGAGAGCAGAAGAAGAGAAACAGGGTCACCAAGCAGCCATGGAAGGGTAGAATGTAAGCCCACAAGTCTATTCTGAATACAAATCTACTCACCCGTGCCTTTTGTTGCCTCAAAGATTAATTAAAACTTGTTCTTACCTCCGGTTCTTTGGGATTGGTGTAAATCTGTTACAAGAAAGTACAGTGAGCACATTCTCCCCTTGGTTAGCACGGAGCAGTGATTAAACAATGCTATTTTCATCTTACGACATCCACTGTACTATCTGTTACACGCGATCGGAAAAAGGAATGGCTGAGAAATACCCTGCCTCTATCAGCAGTCAATACTTTCCACTTCAAAGAAAGGTGGGAGACACTCACCTGTGCAATTGTGAAGGAATGAGGCAAATTCCCATCCCGATCCTCACAGGCTCACTCTTCATGCCTGAGATTTAACTACCCAGATTATGCCTCCCATATACAGAATACCTATCGGTGTTTTACCATGGAGCAGGGCAAAAGACTGTGTGACCTCTTCAATAGCAAAAAAAAAAAACAGGAATAATTTGCCCAAAATCTGGAGGCTTAATAGTTTACTACAGAACTTCCTTAATAACGCCAGCAAGCGGATTAATGCAGATGACTCTTATGGAGAGGGAATGGACAGGACACATAGCTTCCTTCTTACAAGGATGGAGGCAAGATTCTGCAGGGAGCAATGATGTGAAGCACGTGAATGTGCCTCCAGCAGGTTACAGATGCATGCAAGACCTCAGAATCAGAAGCCTAAATTACTCAGAAAATGCTCTCACACAGACTAGAAAGTCCATATTTACCATATTTAAGAAAGGTCACTCATTCATTAAAAAAGACAAATACACTTTTACTTCCCTTTACAAAAGACGTTAATGGGTTGACACAACCTTAGTTCTATTATCTCTCTTGAGCACTCTGGAGGAAAAAAAAATGCATTGCATTCATTTACTTACTGCTAGGACAGCAATGTGTAACTAAGGAGAAAGAAAAAACAAAACACAGAGTTAGTATTAACCTCAGTATCAAGGGGAAAAAAAAGGGAGACATATCAAAATCTGTCTACAGATTGAGAGTAGACTCTATAGAGTTCACACTCTATTGAGTGAAGGAATAGATAAATTCAACAAACCGTGAGTCAAAAATCGTCTTTATATGTATCCTTTATAGCACTGCATCAGCAACACCTAGTGGCCAGTTTGCTTGACTTTTTTTTCTAAGAAAATAGAAAACAGCTGCCTCTTGCAACCATTTCTGACAATCTCCAAAGGCCAATTTAAAACTATTTTGCAATTGCACATAAACTTACTGAAAACTGATACAAGAGCCATTCTGGTACCAGAAATCTTGCTAKGATGAATCTCACTTCCCTGCATCCTCTTCATTCCCTCTCAATTACTGGTGGATGCTCAACTTGGGCTCTCAGGTATACAGCACAGCAAAAGCATTTAATTTACATGGTAGCAAGAAACTATACTTGGGGMTACTCTTGCAAACAATCATGAAATAACCTCCATTATTAAGTATCTAATTTTTTCCTTAAGCCTAGTCAGGTAACAACTGATTGATGTCACTCAGAAATAGTGGCAGASTAAATCCCTCCTAGAGCTGTCAGCAAATGATAACTTGAGTCCACAACATTTCAAATTATCTCATCTACAGTGACAGTTGTACTGATGTATAAGAACCCATCTGATCAGTAGGGCCGAAACTACCAGCACTTCATCTGATCTAGATGAGAGCTGGTTTGATGAACAGTGCTGAGAGAGATGACAGCAACCAGCACTTTTTCCTCTACAGAGCTTTTTCTGTGTGAGAATCAGCAGGGAATATGATGACTTGCTAACTGATGCTGTCCTAAAATAAGCTACATAGATCACTTGATGAAATGGAGGAAAAGAATAAAATCTGAACTCAGGTAGGAAAGCTAAGAGGGTTAAAGAGGATAAGAAAATGAGAAGAAGGGCAATGACTAAGTGAAAGGAGATGGAGGAAATCAGAAGCATGAAGGAACCTGTCTGAAGGAAAATGGCATGGTGCTCAAGATATGTGCTCTGACTGGCAGTGCCTCTATCCAGACCTTAAAGAATGCGAATGTAGAGTACAGAACTAAGGGGAATCCCATTCAGGCCTCAAAGCACTTCACTCATCATGTAGACAAGTCTAGAGATCAACAGCAGCCAAGATTTGGGCTCAGGGAGTATGAACCTGAATCTCACAGGCAGGAACCCATGGCAGGCATGGCAACCACAGCTGTAAATATGKTTTCTGTGTATGCAAGATCATTGCAAAGCACAAAGCAGTAAWGGAAATATAATTTTGTCTGTATTTTATAAGAAATCAGGAACAAACTTACATACTTCTTCTCCAAAGCATCAAAACAACCCTGAATCCTGCCAGAAAAAAAAGAAGTGTTCATATTAACCAGCATATATTAACCAGCAGATATTTATCTCCTGMTTGGTAAACACAAATATATTAGGTAGAGCTTAAAGTGTGCACTTTCTGAATTTGAGATTACAAAGCTAGAAACATCTTGGGCTTGTAYAGTCCTTTCCAGGTCAATCCTCAAGAAGTCACTACCTTCCCTCTGTATCCATGCATTGCTTACACACCTTGGGCCAAATCCCAACAACGACAAGGATCCAAGGCTTGCCAAAAGACTCAAAGTGCCTCTCTGCTCAGTGCTCTATTTTAGTTCTCCAGACCACTTTCCAATCTCTCTTCTCCTTGACTATGTATAGAGCTTGACAGAAGCTTCAATCTGAACAGTTTCATGGGTCTGGCCTTGCAAATATTTATCTGAAGTATTTTTTTTTTACAGATGAGGGCCTTCTCAAGGTAGTAAATATTACATGACGTAGAATCAGTCAGATATTTACTCTTGGAATCAAGGAATCTGCACCGGGTGCTTCCTGGCCACAGCAATGTCAAACAGTAACAAACAAAGATAAGCTAATTTAAGCTAACTTTTTCCCCCAAATCATAGAAATCTCCTGTCTATGCTTCTTTTGGGAATATGTGAACTCCCTGAAATACATTTTAATTATCATACAAAGAAACTGTAATGTCCTTAGATATACGATTTCCAAGGAGATAAAATACTGTACRTAATAGGAAACATGTTAAAAGAAATACTAAGAAGGAAAAAAACCCCTACAAAATACTAAACAAAACCAGAAACATTCCAAAATTTTATTTATAATCTCCCTACCTGCATTGCCTGTGTGTGCTCCAGGGCCTGACCGTGACCTCACTAAAGTCAACACTTAACAAACCTTGAACTCACACCACCTTTTTCAGCAACTACCTCTTGTTTAGGTACAGGGGCAAACACACACGCTGCAGCAGTGGGAGCTGCGCTGGCATATCCAACTGCACTACTGGGCAAAATGTTTTCAAATTAAGGAAGAAAAAGAATGTAAAGGGTAGATGTCTTGCTATTCAGCACAATCTTGTCTTAGTTTCGCTGTTACTCACTTACCACTTGACTATCTGCAATGATCCCAGACAGCTTTTATCTTCTCGGAGAATTTTTAGACAGAGGTCTGCAAAACCAAATTTAGCACATACTTCAAATCCTTATCACAGCTATTGGGCAAACACTGAAACTAAGGCAGTCAGCCTCCCTTTTTTGGATAAAATGCTTTATCTGGAAGCTCTTCCTGAGCGGAAATGGTGGTTTTCCACCGAGTCCCAGGTGGGCTGACACAGGCTTATTGCTGCATTTTCAAATGTCAAAGATTTTCCTCAGATGCTCTAGGCTCTCCCAGCGAAAGTGCTAGAGTTAGTGGCTTGATTTCAAAATGCATCAACTTCCGTTCTTTCTTCCCTCCCCCACTCTCGATTCCCATCCATTCTGTTATTTGCTAACAACACCGCCCACTTTCGCATTCAGTCTTCACCAACAATCAAACGAAGTGAAGCCTGCATTTGGAATAAACAATTTTTGTTACTTTTTCCATTGGATTCCTTCTGTTTTCAGATATTCGGAATTGCAAGTGGGAACTCCCTCCTGCTACTGATACAGCTACCAAATAAAGAGATGATTTAATGACACCTAAAGATCCAAGCAACAAACAGCTTGAACGGGACAGATGTTAACATTCTTGCTCGAAGACGGTACTTGAAAGACCTGAAATTTGATTAGAAAGTCTAATGGCCTTTTAGTTTTAGGTGATCAAAAGTCAAGTGGAGGCAAGGGCAATTCCAACAAAGCCCATGACGTACCTGTGACCAGGTCTCAGGATAACCATCTCAATAAAATCATGGAAATGAGTTGGTAGGCGGGTAGACACCTCACACCCCACTAAGGCATCTCATATGTGCAAACATAAAGATGTGGAAAGCAGCATTAATTCTTGTGATCCTATGACAACACAGCCTTAATCTAACTTTTCTTCTAAAGGAGACACTCTCACAAGCATGYGTGGTTATGTGAGATAGTTCTCAAGACAAAAGCACTTTTTTAAACTACTGATTCTCAACCCACTCCACTATCTTGGAGGCCTGATGCACAGGGTTGGCAACAATCTATGAGAAATGATTATAAACCACTAGAAACACTAGCAGAAAAAAAAAAAAAAAGAAAGAAAAAGAGGGGGGAGAGTTGCCAAAAGCTCCAGGTTGTCTCCTGAGCTTTCTCTCTGAAGCAGAACCGCTGTTTGCCTCAGGAGCTGAAGAAGACCCATTAGCAATTTTCCTACAAGCAACTGAATGTGTAAGCATATGGCAGCTCATCTCTAGAGCAGGTTATGGCTAAAAAAGAGCAAATGGGAGCCAGAATTCAGCAAAAATTGAGAATGTTACCATCTAAATAGCGAGTTCCATACGAACTCTCTGGGAATAACCCTCTCAGGTATGTTATACAGGAGACTGAGATAGCCAGAAGCTTTTTCACCAGCACCACAGACTGCTGCTCAGTAGTAATTTTGCTGGGGAACAACACTGGTTCCTGGAAAAGAATAAAAGGGCACAGTCAAAAACAGTACTTGTTTTAGCTTGGTACGGAAATGACTCTTAGCAGGTAAAAAGAAAAGGTAGCTTCAGTTATTTTAAAATTTCTCTTGTCTTCATGTAATGTAGAGAGAGGATTCATGCCTAACATGGGTGGGATTAAGCATTTTAAGGTTAGTTATCAAAGGATCCCACAACATTTACTCAGATCCAGACAATTTTGATCCCTCCCTTGCCCACGGGTCACAGTGGCACATTCCCACCTCCTCCACTGCACTAATAATGGTACCTGTCAGAAAACCACCCATGCTAAAATATATATATAATTTCTGTCAATTCAGCTCTTCAAAGTTAATTGGAGTCAAACAAGGGCCACAACTGGGGCAGTGTCTGCTGCTACACCGAAGCCCAGCACCTACCACAGCTTTGGCTGGAGCTATTAGCATCATGTTAAGTGGCATGAAAGAACTGCTACAGGGTCACTGGCATGGTCAAAAGTGCTTCTGAGAATCAGTGGTAAGAAGAGAAAGTCCTGCACTAGACAGAAGTGTCAGACCTCAACAGCTCTGACATCTGAGAGCAGACCCAGCCTGCTGCCACCATACAAGGACTGGGCTCCCACAGTGATTTTATCAGAGAACTGTACCCAGTACATGCTACAAACTGAAAGAGCTAACCACGCTGGAGATTGTGGTGGCTCTAAGTACTAAACACTGTGATTTTAAGTGGAAAAATGTCAGTACAAAGCATACAAAGTTTAGTCCTTTAATAGCTCTTTTTTTGTGTGTTCCTGCTAATAGGGCTCTGAGCACACCTAATGAGCCCTCATTTATTTATTGAAAGACATGTCAAAGCTGCATGTTGCATGCTGTATCCTCCTGGATTCATTAAGCTGGAAATACCTGCTTTTTCATCCAGCTAAAGATAGTGCAGTCAACAGAAAGAGTTCTCAGCCCACAGGGCACAGCCTCAGAACTGAGCACCACASCGGCTGCACCGTTGCACGTCAGGCTTTTTACCTTGGAGGATTTATTCTTTTGCCTCGTCTGTAACAGCTGGTGGGTGGCCATCACGTATCAAAGTCCTGCTTTCCACTTGCAACTGAAGCCTGCAGAAAAAAAATGGAGGTGAAATACCTGGAAAACATGCAGTCATTGAAATGCCTCGTCTTCCTTCAAGTAAGAACCAGACTCTTGGGTCCTATTCAGGTCTAAAAGCCAGTTGTTAGGCAAGAAAAGCTAACTCAAAGTAAAGCAGAGACACTCTGTGGTACTGCCTGCAAGTCTGTGGGGTGATAAAAATCTATTCACAGGTTAACGATCAATAGTATTTGAAATTCAGGGCCATATCTGAGCTGTGTGTCAACTGGTGCCACTTCAGAATGCATTTTTCATATTCTCACCCGCAAATGCTACCTCCTAAAGCGACTAGGAAGTGTGAAGAGGGAATGAAAAAGAACTGGAAGTCTGCCAGTGGGAGCCAGGATTTTAGCACGAGCAAGCAGGATGGACGCTAACATCAATCTCAGCCAGAATAAAGGAATGACTCTACCAAGACACCTTGAAAGAAAAAAAAAATGAGAGGCCTGTACAGTTTTAATGAAGGCAGGCCTTGTTAAACAAACCTGGATTAAAGAGGGAAATTGTTTCCCAAGATTAGAAATCTGATTGATAAAGGCAGTGATGCAGGTATTTCCTTTTTTCCCTTTTTTTTCCTTGCACTTCTGCAAGGTGCTTGATTTGGCCTGACGTCTTGATTAAAAACGTCCATTAGACAGAATTAGCAACGYACGCATTAACTGCCTTGAGAAATGGCCCCGCCACGGATCTCGACGTGTAGGAGCTGTAGCTGCTAATGGGGGAGGTGTTAATGGACAGAAACATCCCAAGCGAGGCCCCGAAGGTGCACTTCCTTGGCCGAGGCGAGTCAGTATTTCTGTCGCCCATTAAAAGCAGAAAACCAACGCAGCGGATTGATTTAAGCAACGACCTCACGTGTTGGGCTGCGAAGGCTTATCGGAACAGTCAACTTCATTTTGCTTCGTATTTGTACACCTCTCGCATTTCTTCTCTTTTGGCAGTCATTAAAACATGTTGACTGGAACATGCTGACAGCTCTTCTGCTAAATTTAGTACTTCATTTAATAACGAGGGCACATTATAGCTACAAAAGCGTATTCACACAAATGCGCGGCGCTAGATTTTTAATATTTATATGTGAAATATTTTTGGAGGTCTTTTTCTTTCCCTTCAACGCTGACGACTGGCTGGGCGGTCTGAACGGGACTGGGACGCAAGGAAAACACAGGCGTTGCTCCCAAGCGAGGTGAGGAGCCCATGTGAGAGAGTCGCGAAGCTACAAAAACACGTTCTCCTGCAAAACACGCTGCATATAAAATGGTTTCCTTTGGGTAGGAGAGGGTTACCTGAGGAGGCCGTTTTGTGAGGGGTTTCGGGAGCGACGCAGCCCTGCGCTGCCCCGGCCTCCACAGAGGCTCTGCCCCGGCCTCCACAGAGGCTCTGCCCAGCCCAGCTGCTCCATGCGGGCCCTGCTCCTGCCCTCTCCCGGGACGGCACGGCCGCTCCTGCGGCCCGCAGGGGCCCGACTGCCCTGCCCGCGGCGCGAGGCCTCCCCGAAGGCACGCAGAGCCCCGAGGCGYGCAGCCCGGGCCCCGGGCCCTACCTGCGAGGCGGCAGCCGCGCTCCAGCAGCTCCGCACGCTCCCGCTGGCACCGCCGGGGCCGGCCCGGGCCAGGGAGAGGAGGGGACGGGGCAGCACCTGCTGTCCCCCAAAAAGGAGCCACTTTGTGTCGGACTTCAGCACTTCGGAGCGGGGCAGGGGCTGCCTGCCTTGATCCGCACCTTATCCACACACCGGCCCTAGCGAAACCCTTTTTCTCCCATTTCGGGGCCTGTCGTGGCTGCAGCGGCAGGTGGGAGGACGCGGCAGCCTTCTGCCACCTCCCTGTTTTGGGCCCCCTTCTGCCCTCTTCCCAGGGACCTTTTCCCTAGTCTGGGGCCAGGAGCTGTTTCCAAACTCCTCCCCGCGGGAGGAGAAAAGGCAGCAGTGATTTTCAAGGATGTCAAGGGTAAAACCAGAAGGGGAGCCACGCTGACCTCAAGCCAGGGCAGGCCTGGAGAGGGGAGCAGCTCGGCAGCCCCCAGGAGCTCTCACAGCTCCACGTCCGCCCGCCGCTGGGCTGGGGGAGGCCCTTGGGTGTCTTTCCGCCTCCCTCCRGAAGAGGGGTGAAGCCTGGAGCCGTGAAGGACTCGGAGCGCCGGGAGGCCTGGGAATGCCCTGTGTGGGGAGGGAAGCCGAGCGCTTCCTGCACGAGCAGCCCGGGACGGGGAACCCGTACGCCGAAGATGCTTTGCTTCGGAACTACTTGAGAAGGCACCTTCCTCCTGAGGTGCGGCGTGCGCTTGTGCCTGCCTTGTGTRTGTGCGTGCGTGCGGTGCCGCCGCGGCGCGGGAAGCTCCGGACTGCTGATCTCTGCAGACCCTCAGCACAACGTGTCTGCGAGCTCCTGTCGCCTTTCAGCCTCGCGTTCTTCAAAATTTGGTTTGAATCGCCGCCAGATGACAGCTCCTGAYGGGGCATGAACAGGGTTAGAAAGGACCTGGTGGGCTCCTGTGACTGGYCGGGTGTTGCAATGGCGTGAGGGGTTGCTCGTTGCTTAGGGATTGGCCATGCGTGTGTTTGTGTGTTAGTCATCCACGGTAAGAGACTGCAGGTAAAGAGCCTTAAAGTGCGGCTGCTGTCACGCTCTGCTCTGGTCTCTYGTTTCCCTCCGCCTGCAGCTCTGAAGGAAGCTCCTTTCAGAAAGAACAGTGCATTTCAGCTCCACACCCAGAAGCGTTTTCGTGTTTGCTTGTCCTCAGCATCACTCATGGGCATTTCTGAGTGGGCTTGCAGATAACAAGTGCTCTGGACAGGACTGCAGGGGAGACAGACCCAGGTCTCCATTCAGCAAGGATCAGCTGGGGGCTCCTTCTGCTCRCTGCATTATCAGGTAGAAGAGGCCACCCAAGGACTGCAGTAAATGTGGTCCCTTTTCAAGGACCACATCTCCCAGAGCTGAGTGTTGCCTGTCTTTGTGATTTACTCCACTGGAAGCAATACAGTGACCTGGAGAGCCACCAGGTGARCAAAGGAGGCAGAACATGGCTCTGAGTGATGCTCTCCCTGCCACTGCTCCGTCCCCGGGTTCATGAGGCCTTGCAGTCTGGTGGAATAGTGTGAGGAGAGCTTTGCGAGCTTGCATTTTTCACAGCCGTCACTAAATACAGGGATGAAGCCTCGCTAAGCATCGCTGTGGCCTTCCTGACAGAAGATGTAAGAGTAGGGGATGCGTTCAGGCAGCCAGAAAGATCCTCCTCCCGGTACGGAATTTGACAGAAGCGTGAGTCAAATCTCTTGAAAAATGGAAGGCTCAGTGAGGTCCATTATGAAGCCCGAGAGCTGCAGTCCACTTGTGTAAAACCTATCAAAAAATCAGCAAAATCTCCTTACAGTTCTGCATTTGGTCCCAGCGGGGCAGTGTTGCCTCATCCTTAAAAGGGAGAGGCTTGTCTCAGCTTGCTGCCTCCTGCAGCACAGGCTCCTCCGGGAGGTCCATGCGGATGCCCTTCTCCAACAACAGGTGAACTCTGTGTTCCACTGAAGTGGATGCCTCCCTGGAAGTTGATTTCTATCATGCTATTTGCCTATGTCCAGTGGTAACAAAAATATATTCCTGGAAAGAAGCACAAAATCTGTTTTTTTAAAGATGTTCTCTGGATTACSTAGAAGAAAGTGTCTGCTCTTTTTGGTCTGTGGTCTTTGATCTCTCGATAAATACCTGCTTTAATATAAAAGATGATCTGTTTTCACTTTTGATGCATGTCCAATATACTCATCCTATGGGACATTAAAGCGCTGATTAGGGTGAACAACATCACCCAGAAAACGCTGCTTGTTGATGGCTTGTGCCATGAACCTAACAGTTTGTGGATGAAACCACATTGAAGGGATGACCCTTCAGTAGCCTGTTGCACATTGCCTGGAGTGCCAGGGCTGCCGTGCACCTCATTCAATGGTCCCGCTTACAGGAGCTCTCTTTTTGTTCTCTGGCTTTGGAAATAAACACATTAACATGGGCAACACAGAGCATTAAAAGGCAAAGTCCAGGTGGGAACACACAGAGAGGCCAAATGTCTTTTTACACACACTGTGTATGGGAGTGAAGGGACTGTCATAATTGCATTCACTCTCGTGTGTGGACAGTTTCCTTGCCCTGTCTATCTAGGGGCTTGGCACCCATTTGGAAACCTCTCTAGTAAACTCCTGTTCTTCTACTCAGCAAAAACTACCTGCTAAACASTGCAAAGGTCCTGGCACTTCAGGGATTAGTGAAATCCATGAATCCTTGGACTCTTAGACTGTGCCGCTAAAACAACCTTTAGCTTTTAGCCCGTGTTTGCACTGGAGGCATCCGAGTTCCAGCTGAACTGCAGCTAGAACAAACAAGAGTACACCATAAGCTGGACCAGTTTGCTAGGGAGTTTGGGCATGTTTTAGGTTGTGCTTTGTTCTCTTTGCCACTGTTTATCCGAAAGGAAACTGGTTGGCTTGAAGTYTGAGACTTCTAAAGCACTAAGCAGGCAGTAGGTGTTGGATCCTCATTCCGCAGTTTGAGAGGCAGAGCGATGGAGGAATCAATCGCACAGGACGTAATTTAATGAAAAGTCAATACAGGAGGGAGCAGAGAAAGGAAGAAAGCAGTGTTTGAACTTCATCAGCAGCAAATTAATGTGTTGTGCATTTGTGCTATTTGAATAGAGCAGCTAGGACAATCATCTCCACACTTGTTGTGCTCAGGGATTCCTCTGATGAAAGCCAATCTAGATCAGGTACTTCTATGACCCTTACTATTGACTTGAATGTGTTTACAAGGCCCTACTATGCTAGAGGTCGGCTTCATCTGACCTAATTTTAATGATCAGTGAGGTTATTTAAGTCTAGGCAAGTTCTCTAGGCTCTGGCCACTGCCGGTGAAGAGGAGMAGGTGCCTATAGAGGGCAATTCTTCTCACACTAAAGCAGAGATCTAAAAGTCGGAATGAATCCCTCTCTGCAGGTGTYCCTTTCTCTCCTTTAGCAATAGATAGGCTGCTCTGTGGCAGGCAGCCAACACGGCAAAAGTAAAGGCATTTTAGTCCTTATCCAGAGACATTTAGGAGGCTGGTTGCAGAGTGGAAACGAATTCAGACACCTCAGGAGCCAGCCTGAAGCTCAAGCAGCTGAGACATCCCTCCCTTTCTAATCTAATAAGCAGGTAGTTATCAAGCCCAGTGGAATTCTTCCTAGGTAGATAAAGGCTTTCCATTTTTTGCAGGTTTGTCGTCTTGGCATTAGTATCCAGCGGGAAATTGCTGAGGCTAGAAGGGGCCTCTGGAGTTCATCCAGTCAACCCCCAGCATGTGTATCTGTGTGATTCATGAGTATATGTGTGATTCTCAACCCTCATACAAATTTTTTTTCTGTCTTTTGTAAAACCCAGAGATGCAGCCTTTTCAGAAAAGGGATTCTGGGGGAAAATAAAAAGTGACAGATGAGCACAGCTGTCCCATCCAAGCCTGAGAGACAAGCTGCTGTCCTGCTCATTACAGAACACAGAAGGGCCAGGTGGCAAGAGATCATTAGCACCTTTGAACAGTTGTGCTCCATCTTTTRCCTTTCGAAACAAGCCTGCAGGCTCCTTGTCTTCCCAGGGTGTACTGAAGGACTCTTGCTGTTACTTCATAGGTACAGGAGGAGGTGAGTCAGGACCTGGAAAAATTTGGAAACCGTTTGYGAACTGAGATCCAACCTCTAGCATGGGAATGTGCGTTGAATCCTCCGGTCTTTCGGCCGTACGGTGCTTGGGGGCAGCGGCTGGATCATATTATCACCTGCTCGGCCTGGAAGAGGATGAAGGAAATCGCAGCAGAAGAGGGGCTAATTGCTCAGGCTTATGAGAGAAGATACTCCAACTGGAGGTAACTGGGGATGTGGGAATGGGWGAAGGCCCCTTGGTGAAGGCAAGTGGCTTGGCGACTTGTTGAATATCCCTGGTTGCTGTCAGCAGGGTGTATTCAACATCTAATAGGACTGGACTCCTTTTTGAATAATGGATGACAGATGAGGCATGGATGAAGGCACACCTAGCTCTGCTTTGAACAGCAGTCTCCCTGTCCACTCTAATGTTCTGCATTAGCAATGATTATCCATACCTGATGGCCTACAGTTAGCAGTTGTACTCCTTGATGTCTCTTTCTGGATTCTGGGGCCTGGCACTTCTTCCCRCCATTCCTGCTTTACCTGCACTCATCATAATACAACTACATGGGCTTTTGCTTGCAATTGCATTGTATTCCAGAGAGAGCCTCAGGTTTACTGTTCTTATGAACTGCAATTAATGTGCACAGCTGGCAAGCAATGCCTTTCATCCAGCCCCTGCACTGGCCATTTCTCTGGGAATGAGAAGCTCTTCTGTTCCATTTCTTCCTGGTTGAAATTTTCTGCCCTCAGAAATGAGTGGCATGGTTCTCATCTGTATTGCCTGTACCCTTTTGGCCTCCCTTTCGTCATGTTTTATCCTTCTACTGTTGACCTGCTGCAGAACTTCTCTGGTTTCTTTTCTTTTTTTTTCCCTAGCCGTGTGCATCAGGCCATCAAAGTCTACTTATTTTCAAGTTTCTCTGGAGGTTTCAACTGTCCTCTGGCCATGACGGATGGAGCAGCCAAAGTCATTGAGGTAGGAGTCCCATTGTCATTCAGGGCACAGCCCAGGCGCTGGCAGCTTTGATCAGAGTCCAGGACTGGCCAAGGCTCCAGGAAAGCTGATCTGCCACCTGCATGTCCCTTCCTGGCTTTGTGACTCAGCTCCATCTCCCGCTCCCCCATGTTTCTCTGTTACTTATAAAGTCTTTGTGCACAGGCTTGTTTTTAGAATTACTTACATCACCGAGCACAGTATTATTGTCCACCTTGAACCTCGCAGGGATCCCTGCGGGGACGCTTGTAGGATAYACTCTTGTGAGTTAAGGAAACTATTGAAATTTGGTCTGGGCAAGATGCATCTGTGGCATTAGGATTTTTCATCTTGGTTTATTTTCCCTCCCCCCAAACAGTCACTGGGTATTCCTGGATCTCTGAAAAATGTTTTCGATCATCTGACATCTCGTGACCCCAAGAAGTTCTGGACCTCTGGCCAGTGGATGACGGAGCGCAAGGGAGGCTCTGATGTTGGTAAGGGTCCCTAGCTGGGAAATGACAGCAGTGGCAGCTGGCTGTGGTAGCAAGAACTGAGAAGATGGAAGGTGTGGGGAGAACTTTCAAGGCCGTGTAGCTGATTTAAGATACTTCAGCAGAAGTCATGTAACTCTTTTAGATAGGGCTACCTTTTACTAATAAAAGACCAAACTCATTCTGTCYACCAGTGCATGCAGTACACACACACATGCAGATACCGAGCTGCGGTACTTGCACCGATAGCCCACGAGATCTGACCCTTGATCAAGATATTGAGGCACATCCCAGGTAGAACTGAAGACACAGTCTTGGCCTTCCACTTTTGTTCCTTGGCAAGTGATAATAATAGCGGAATAGACCAGGAAATCTCAGAACTTCATTGCAAAGACAGAAGTGTGCAAAGGGAGTCAGCTACGTCTGATGAAGTAGCAATTGGGTTCCTGGGGGGAGAAGGTGTGGAATGAAAGCTAGAGAGGTGAGCATCACTGCAAGACCCTCTTCCATGGGCCTTTTTTTTTTGTTTTTGGCTGTGGTAGTCTCTTAAAAATGGGGGAGCTGGATTATAAACCACTCTATGTTTTTGCCTACAAAGTGCTGCCATTTTCAGCTGTTGGCCTGGAGCAATTGCTGGAAAGGGCCAGACTCAACAGAGGACATTTTCTTTCTAGTGCTTAACCCTGACTGCATCTTTTATCCAAGGCCAGTGAAACCGMTTAGCAGCTAATCCATATTTTGTCTTGATAGCAAGAGGTGATTTAAAAGACCTTCTGCTTAAGCTGAAAATCAGCATTGATTGATACAAAAGTTCCCATAAAGCCAAGATCTCCTGCTCCCTCTTACAGCTAATGGCACAGAGACCCTGGCCAGAAAGCAGCCAGATGGTACATATCATCTCTACGGCTTTAAATGGTTTACATCAGCTGCTGATTCTGATGTGACGTTGACCCTGGCGAGGATAGCGGATGCTCAAGGACATGTAAAACAGGTCTGTTTCATAGTGGAATACTGCAAAGGAGTGGGGAGATGTGCTTACTTGCCTTTTCTCATCATCATAACATCTTCTTTGTATGCATTTTTAATGGCCCTAGGGTTCTGGAGGTCTGTCCCTGTTCTTCTTGAAGGTTCAAGATGAGGATGGGAAGCTGAACAACATCAAAGTGCAAAGGCTGAAAGACAAGCTGGGTACACGCCAGATGGCAACAGCAGAGCTATGGTTAGATGGAGCCAAAGCAGAGCTAGTAAGTAAGATTTCACCTTCTTGGGACCGGGCTGGCTTGGCATGAAGACAGACAACCATGAAGAAGAGAGAAAAGGAAGTTTCTCCCACTTCTGTGGCTGGCTGTTTATTCCACAGAACCTTGCCCCAACAGAGCTGTGTACAGGACAAAGCTCTGAAGAGCTCAAGAAACTAATTTGATTTTAAAGCAATCCCAGAGGAGGAGAAACAAAAACAAAAAGTCATTTTAGGATGGTTATTTCCTTGATCCAGTTGGACCTGGCTGAGGGATAGTTCTGTGTAGCATGCAGGTGGGAATAAGCAGCCCAGGACCAGAATTGATCGTGCTGATATTGTCTCCAAAGTCACCAGTTTAGTCATGCCCAAGACATGGATAAAATGAGATGGCTGTATTTTAAAGCAAGCACATCTTTCTGGTGCCTGACGGCAGACAGAGTGAGCTGTCCCTGTCTGTCTGCCTCTTGACACCCAGACAGATGTGCTTCAGCTTCCAAGGACATGCAAAGGGAGGTTTAGATCAGCCTTTGTCCTTCACTGCTTTCAGATCTCTGCAGAGGGTCGTGGAGTGGCCTCCATCTCGAACATGCTGAACATCACTCGGATCCACAATGTCATTGGTGCAGTAGCTTCCATGAGAAGGTGAAAGCAGCGTCGCTCCCCTGGGGCTGAAGAAGCAGCTTATCAAAACAAGGGGACTCTGCAAGGCTTAGCATTGCAGCTGGTTGACATCTTAGGCCTCTGTGGGCACAGGGCTGGGATCTAGCCAAGCTGGAGTTGCCCTGTGGGTAATTTAGGCTTGCATGTACAGCTGAGTCGGGTTCTTCCAGTGGGAACGGGTGGGAGGGAAAGCCCAACGGTGAAGCAGGAGGATTGCTAGTCTAACTCTTTTACCTGGCTATATTCTCTAGGATGATCAGTCTGAGCAGGGAATATGCTCTTCRGCGGGTTGCCTTTGGGAAGCTTCTCAAGGACCATCCCCTCCACATGCAGACGATAGCCCGGATGGAGGTGAGGCTTCTTRAAGCTCAGCTGGATCTGCCAGGGAGACCGGAGCTGCTACTGAGAGCAGCCAACCTGCCTCTGTGTGCAACAGGCAGAGGTAGCTGTCTCCTGCTACAATAAGATGTATGCAACAAGGGATCGACATATTTCAGTGAGATTTGGTCTGGCAATTGACCTAACTTCTCTGCTGGACTTCAGCTTAAGTTAAATAACAATTACCTGGGAACAGTTGAGAGGATTGCCTTAAATTTATGCATGCATCTACTATGCCTCAACCTCTGAAGCTGGTCCGTAACATCTGAATCCAAACATTACAACATAATCTCCTAAATTGGAGTTAATGGACTGTTTAGTAGGACCCAGGAAGACTCATCCAACTTGCCTGGGAGCCTGTGCACAAGTAGAAGGGCTATGCACTGTTTGCAGCCAGCTTAAAGAATTCTGAGGGGTCAAAACACACAGACTAACTGGCCCTTGAGAGCAGGTCTTGTTCGCTGTGTGCCTGCTCAGTGCATAGCCAGCCAGAGAATCGCCTCTAGGCGTGAATCTAAGACCACGAAAGACAGAGAGGTATCAATAGACACTGTGTCTTCAAGAGTAATTTGATGTCTGAGCCTTAGCTCGCTACAGAGCAGCTCACTTCCACAAGACACGGGTGGCTTCCCACCCCTAACAGATCTTCAAAGGGAATGCACACAGTTCTGCTCCTCTCCCCACCCAGGCAGCACTTCTTAGCTTAAGCTGTGTAATGCCAACAGTTGTCCTGGGCAGCAATAGGTCTGTGCCGATATTTAAAGCAGCATTAAAAATCCCATTTGCAGGGGGAAGCGTTGGGGGAAAGTGGTGTCACTCACACCTCAATATAGCAAAGCTTCCTGAACCTCAACTTCCAGATTCCTCGTTAAGCAGCTTTCTCCCTTGGCAAAAGACCTTGCAGCTCCTGGTACTCAGCGGCTGACATGCATGGTCTCATGTTCTTCATCCTTGGAAAGGATGTGGATTTGTGATGTGGATGCCTGGTGGGAGCTTTGATCTTAATAAGCTTAATGAAATCAGTCCTTTTCCTGATGCTGGACTGCAGTGGCCATGAGAAGCATCTCCAGACTACYTACAGTCTCGCTTTGTGTCTTGGATGCTGGCCAGTCTGTCTCTGAAGCTGTGAGTCTGCACTGGAGGGGTAGCCCTTTGCCCAGGTGTGAGTGTTAGTGYCATGGCTCATCAGCAGATAAGGCTCACTCAGTCTGAGTCAAAAGTCTTCGCCAGTGAAGGACCCCACTTCTCTGCCTGCAGGTGCAGACCCGAGGGGCATTTCTGCTGCTCATGGAGATAGTTAGATTGCTTGGACTTGTAGAAACCAACATGGCAAATGAGCAAGAGCAGCTTCTCCTGAGACTGCTGATACCAGTAGCCAAACTTTACACTGGAAAACAGGTAAGGAACAACCAGCTTCATCAGCCTGGAGTGGGTCTGGGTGGCACATTAATAACTTCAGAGCTGGAAAGAAACATGATTAACGTGGGCAACAAGAGAGGTATCAAGTAAAAGGTTAAAAACTCTCCTGGAATATGGAATAGACATTTACTTTCATACACACCTCAGGCTTTTCMTTTCATAGAGAGAACTGTACTGACAGAGAAGCTCCTTGGATATTCTCTCAAGATTCAACTACTTATGAAGTCCTTTCCCAGTGTTGCTCATTTTTCATTCTGCAGGATGAAGACGTCATTTAATGAGCAACCTGCCAACCAGCAAATCAATGAGATCCAGCTGGTCCTATCCCAGCAGGAACTGCCACATGATATTAGATATTTCTGGATGCTTTCTCCTCTTGTGCAATGTGCTACATGCAACTACAACATGCTAATTCTCTACATTTTTCAGGCTTCTGCTGTTGCTGTTGAGGCCATGGAGAGTTTTGGGGGACAGGGCTACATGGAGGACACAGGCCTGCCAGTCATAGTCCGTGACACACTGGTAAGAAAGCAGTAGGAGAAGCAGAGACGGCTTCTTATGTGGAAGCTCTTATGTGTTACATAATATGTTCCAGAGTCCTCCAGAGCTGCTTCCTACATGCTCGAAGACACAGCCCTTCTCAGACTCACTCCAGCTCTGGCAGCTCTTTCTGAGTTGCCTTCCTGCTCAGCCCAATCATCATCCCATTCAAAGGGGGTTACAGCAGCCCTAGAGGAGAGGGAACGTGACTTTTTCCTGTTCCAAGAGCTTGATTCTTAGCTCAGCAATGGAGCTGGCTCCCTGACACCAATCGTTAATTCTCCTTTCCATTTGTGGTGAGGCAAGAAGTCTCTAGAGGTTTCCTTACCATCCCTTAACTTAGACCCATGTCTTTGTTGTCTCTCTTTCCACTCCTCTTGCTGTTGCTCCAAGAAGCTCCTTCACATCCTTTCCACAGTCTCTTCTACCCTGCAGGTGCTGTCCATATGGGAAGGAACAACAAATATTCTGTCACTTGATGTCCTGCGATCGCTCACTAAGAGTCAAGGGCAGGTGATGACTGTGTTCATCTCCACAGTGCAGGTGAGCTCACATCCACAGCACTATTCAGCATAAGTTGTTCACTGTGAGACAGTGTCATTTGGGATTAATATTGCCAGCTGAGACCAGTAGAGAATATGATCAAATTCAGACCTTTAGACATGGGTGCAGAAGGTGCCTCTCAATTCTGCTCTTTAAATAGCACTTACAAAACCAGAAAGTAGGCAGTATTTGCTTTGGGATCTTCCTGTGCTGCAAAAATTCACCTCAGTGCTAGTAATGCACAGTACAACACAGTGCAGAATTCTCACTGGGGGCTCTGGTCCATTCAATATAAAATCTTACCCATCCATCATATCTTTCAAGAACACAGTAGCAAGAACGTGACTTGTAACAAGTGGTTGCAATGRGCAACTTTATTCTATATTCTATAACTCTCTTCAGAGATGAGTGTCATCTTACCATCCTCTCATCAAGTTTTTTGTTAAAGCCAAAATAAATGACACAATATCTCCATCTGACAAAAAAAGGCCATGTCCACTCATAAGCTGATGAGCCTAACTGCTAATKAAAAGCCAACTGGTCCGTCTGTGGATAAAAAGTAGTTTACTCTGACAATGAAGGTAGGGAGTAGGGCATGGAAGAAGGGGAAGGTAGGTCTAAAAATAACCTGGAAAGGAACTGGTACCCACAGGCTTCCTCACTTATGCTAATTTAAGCTAAGTAGATACCCAAAAAGTGCCATACTTAAGTCTTAGGACTGCACCTTGTTGGTGTAGCTCAGAGAGCCCCTTCAGCTTTTTATCAACTGGATAATGGGAGAAATGATAAAGAATTCAGCAACACGATTCAGAGCAAATAATTGAGTGTCTGTACCACTTAGTACAGACTTACTAATTAGTAAGCTCGTAATGACTCCTGCTTCCCCACAAATCAACCTGCAAAGGAGACTGCAGGGGGAAAAAGCACGCGTTGATTTTTAAGCTGGCGTTTTCCGTTAATGGCGTGCTTAGACTGCCTCATTTCCACGGATTCTTGGCAACGGAGTGACTGGAGGAAGCTGAGCTGGGAGGGCCGTGCTGATACACGTGATGCTGCACGGGACAGCTTGTACTTGGCAAGTCTGASCTGGACAGGGCAGAAGCCTTTGCCCCTCTGCCTTGAGCAGCCCCGCACAGGGGAGGCAGAGGGGAAGGTGTCCTGCTCGCAGCACCAGCACACACAGCAGTGTTCCTGAGCCCACAGCACTTTCCTCAGGACTTCTAGATGCTCGTTACAGCTGGCAGTTCCTCTGCAGCACTGGTCAGGAACATGCTGGGTTTCTGTACCAGAATCAGGATGATACCCAATCCCTTTYTGAGCTCCAGTTGCCCCAATTCTCTTGGCTTCTGGGGACCTGGCTCTTCTTAAACCATCTTTACTATGCCCAGTTAGTGATGAAATCGTTCAGTCCTTTATAGAGGATTTTTATTATTGCATTCTTTTTCCTTTTTATTAACACTTCTCTCAAAACAGTGCAGTTTCTTTTACTAATGTTCATCAGAGATCTCCATTTGTAGGATTTGTAGCCAGACAGAGAAATGTCTTTGGAGAAAGCAGCATTGTCTTAGCACTTTCTTCTCTGAAAATCGTATTTTACTGGAATTTCCTCCCCCTGCTCCCCTGCTACCAATTTCTGCTTTTTCCTTGTGCCATTTGGCTCTGTAGACTATGGAATAACAGAGGACTGAAGGAGCTGCATCCATTTGGTTTTTGTTTTCTATGAGCACTAATGCAGTGACACCTTTATCTTCAGAAAGGGAGAAAATACAGAGAACTTTTCTTGCCCAGTGTGATTATCAAGAACCATAAAAAATSAGCTTCTTATATATAGGCAGTTTTTTGGCAAGGAAAGGAAACCTTCCTATCCAGAGGTAATTAGTCTGCAGCAACTCCCGAGAACTCATGGCAGGAACAGGAAGGGGGAGAGACAGTCCCAGATTCCCACCAACTGTGCTGGGTTTCAGATGGGTGCTGCAGTAATTGCACGCTATGCTAAAACATTATTCAATGGAATTCTGAGCCAAGTGTACTTTAAAATTCAATTACAWGTTGAAAAGTGACTCTAAACTAGCACCTGGGAACTCTGCTTATTGTATTTTAGTGGCTTGAGATTAAATTTGGTCACATCACAAACAGTTTTCTTTCTGAATACTGGTCTTTGGTAACTCATGTTCTGTARCTCAGGATCAAGGCTGTGATGCATCAGCAGTGACCGTGTAGGGCCAAAGACCTACCTGTAAACGGCCACGTGATAGTGCTTTTAGGTAATTTTTAGAATATAATCCCAGTTTTAACAGAGCAGGAAAAATACCTAGGTTGTTAAAGTGAGCCTACCCATCTGCTTCAAATATTCATGTGAGGCTTGTGCTTCAAGCTCTGTTCTGGATCTTCTCCCTGGTGCCGTATTTTTACATCGCCGTGATTATTGTTTGTTGTAGGTAAAATTCGTTCTGTCTTGCTTGGTAGTCAACAAGTGAGAACAGACAAATGAGTGACAGCTTAAATACKGCTGTGATAACCTGAAGGAATCGGGAATATTGGGGCTGTAAAGCTCTTCTGCTCTCCGATGACAGTCAGAAAAGAGGCGTACAACAGGCATGCGGAGTCTGCATGTGTCTGCCTCCCCTCAGGAGGCAGGAACTGGAGCAAATCAACATGCAGGAGGGAAGAACAGGAGTTGCTTCTGCTGTGAGCATCATCCCTGAAGCAGCTGGCTCGCCTCCCGTCCACAAATTCTTCCCCCCCTCTCCCTTTGCATGTGGAAAAAAMCAGCTTGGTCTTGCAGAAAACCAATTGCTTTCCATTAGGAAAAGAATGTGCAGTGCTTAAAAACAAATAAAAGGGTAAATTATTGGAGGGAGAATATAGTCCTTTTGGGTTGACACTAAACCCATGCTTTATCCTACTTCATCTACGTGGGGCTGGGTCTTTAGACCTGCRAAAACACCGAGTGATGCAGGACGGAGCCACTGGTGCCCCAGCTGCGAGCTCCTGTGCTCTGCAGCCCCTGTGCTCTGCAGGGCCTGGCTGCTGCTGCCTCCCGCCCCGCTGCCTCCGAGGATGTTTACGCCTTTGGGGTCTTTGATCTTTGCTGGCAGCAAGCTCTGAGCTACTTTTAAAACATCTTATTAGTATTCTGTGGGTTTGGGGAGTTCTTGGGGCTTTATGTTGGCGCTAGACCGACCCGCTTTAACGACGTTTTTGTATTCGCACAGCATATGCTCTGGGTATTTATTTACTGCTTTGCCTCGAGCGCAGAATAGCCTCCATTGAAGACCATGTTTTTCTTGTATTAATCGTCAGAAAATACAGGGCACCAGAGGTGTTGTGCATAGAAATATTASAGAAAGCAAAATTGGGTTCAGCTTTTGCAGCCTGACTCCTACTGTGCAAATGAGCTATTTGCTTGTGCTAGCAAGAGGAGCTGCATGATCGCCTGAGCACTGAAGGCTTAAAAAAACCCAAACCAACCAACGAAACAAACAAAAAAAMCCCCAAAAGCTTCATAAATAAGCTGCAAATTAGACTAATTAACAAGAAGCATTTCCTACCACGTGCTACTTTAAGAACTTAAATATGTAATGGTTCAGGCTGGGACACTGGCGAGGCCCTGCTYGYGGGGAGGTGCTGGTGCAGCTGGGCRCCAGGGCGGGCAGAGCGTCGCGGCGCGTCAGGAGCCGTGCGTCCCGTCCACCCCGCGCCGTCTCCTGGCAAAGTGCCTCGGAGCCCAGTGCGAGCAGACGAAGCTTTGGCCCCGGAGCCGGAGCTCTCCCGCCCTCGGTGGGCCGATCGCTGCTGCTCCGCACACGGCGCCGGGCCCGGCCGCAGCGGCTCTCGTGGCGCGGCCGTGGCCCTGCTCGCTTAGGAGAGGGCAACTCTTTGGAGCCTCTTGGCAGACCCTCACTTGAAATGCCTTCACAACACCCTTGAGACCCTAAACAAACTAGCTAAGCAGCAGCKCAGCGCAAAGGCATGGGTGCAGGAGCTTTTGAACCCAGGCAAGCTCCTGGCTTCCTTCTAGAAAGAAACGGTTGGATCAAATGGCAAGAGACAGGTGGGATTTTATGGGGCCTTCCCCCCAGACACCGCTTGCAGAGAAAAGCTCCTTCCAGCCTGATTCTTCCTCTCTGAACACAGCTCCAAGGTTTGGAAGGGAAAATACAAAACTAGGGGAAGTCACATATAACTAAAACCTGACCCAAGTGCTCGGGTAGAAGGTACAACAGATTTGACTTGGTCCCCAAGTGCAGCTGGAAAGCCAGCATGGTGATGCCACCTGCTGTGTCCAGCTTACAGGAATCCACTGCTCTTAAGGCAAGGTTGGGAGTTTGCTTTGGGTCCCGTCCCCTTCCCTGCTGCCAGGTGCCGCTCTGGCTGCTCCAGCTACGGCAGTGCAGGTCAGAGCCACGCTGAGCACCTTGCTGGGGGTGCTCACAATCTCCGTGCACGAGGCAGAGCCGCTAACTTTTCCTCCCTTTGGTTTTGTTGCAGAGAAAACTGGAGTCGGCTTCTAGCACTGAGAAACTGGAAGGTGCTGTGAAGCTGGTGCAGGAGGCTGTCAGACTCGTGCAGAGCGCTGGCTCCAAAGGGGCGGCAACCATGGAGATAGCAGCAAGAGACTTCTCCTACTCCCTAGCGAGGATCTATGCAGGTAACGGGAAAGGCCAGAATGGGGGATTGCAGTGTCCAGGTTTGGACGTTCTGCAGTGAACAGTGTTTGAAAGTGAGCTCAGTCACTCCTTCTAAACTGAGGGTCAGCTTGACACAGGAGAAGTACCAACCAACCCTTTTTCCTTACTCTTTGATGTTCTGGCTGCAGTCATTGCGTCTTACAATTTTTTCACAGGTGCTCTTTTAATTGAACATGCAGCCCAGCCCGATTCCTCCGCCACGGATGTCTCCACTGCTCAAAGGTAAGCAGAAACCTCCCCTAGYCCTGGCCATTTGCAACAGTTCCTCATGCGGCGCAGCTTCCTTTGTGCTGCCTCACTGAGAGATCCAACCATCTGCCAGCTGAGAGCTCAAACTTCACTATCAGCTTCCATCAGGACAAACAGCATCACTGCTCCTCCTTGCCATGRGGAAGCTTTCTTCTGGCAGCAACGACAAAGATCCCCACTGGAAAGGACTYCAGTGGTAATTTGTCTGTAATCGAATAGTCTCAAATTGTTTGCATTCTCTGTTCAGGTGGTGCAACCAAGAGTTGTGTCCTGTCAGCACGGAGCTGAAAAACGGCAGCTACGATGCTGAGGCAGCTTTCCTGGACAGCTGCCTGGTGTACGACGGGAGCCCCGTTGCACACAGCAAGCTGTGACTTGGCACAGGTACCTGGGAAAATCACAGTTGTAGATTACTGAGGCTCAGTCTAAGACAGTGAAATGTTCTTACCAGGTTTTAGGCAAAGGCTGAGTGATCACGTGCAGATAAAGACTTGACGCAGCATCTCTTCAAGTGCAACTGGTGTTCATGCTAAGGAAAAGCAACCAAACTCAAAATGAAATTTATCTGACRCTGCTTAAATAGAGAAAACTATGATTTTGATACATTTGCCTTCTTGCTTTCCAGTGTTGCTCCTAAGCATTCTTCCACCCTGGCAGCTGCCGGGACTCAGTTTTTTCTGCCAAGGCAACCTTGACTAATCTCTAACAATTTGTTCACAAGCCAGGTGGTCGGGAGGCGCCATTCATACCGGTGACCTCTGGGGCAACTGTGACACTTGATTGCAGACCCTGTGGATCTGTGAAACTCTGTAACTGATCTTGGCAGCTTTTTGGGAAAAGCAAAACCATTGTATAAAGAAGCTTCCCTTTTCTTAATCCTGCCATAGCTGAGGGGATGGTTGAGTAAGCTCATTGGGCACTGTTGTTCTGGCTGTGCTTTTGATGTTTCCTTTCTTTCTTGTCCCAAACAAACTTCGCTGTGCTTTAGAGTAAGCTGAGGCGGAGGCTTCACCCTGTAACGCCTCTGAGCAGGKGCCTGATCCTGTGAAAGCCGCTAGGTAACGCAGCTCCAGAGCCACGATGGGCAGCAAAAACATCCTAAGCCTCTGGCACTGGAAACAGAGGACACAATARTTTGGGATTTACATCCTCATAAACAGTTAGCATCAACATCAACTCTACTGTATGAAGCTACTCTGGAAAAGACAGGGAGAAGATGTCTGAGCTGCATCAGAACTGTACATGCTGGTAATATAATTAAAATAACTTTTGCCCTCTAGAAGGCTKATTAATTTTCTGTTTGTGTATCCTAATGATAAGGTCATACTGACATAGATTCTAGTAATCTAAGTTTTAGATTGAAAGCCAGTTATCTACCATCCAAGCAAACACCTGGACACTGATTGCATGCTTCTCCCCAAATCAGCACTTCAGTCTACCTGCCTGATACTATCCTGCTGAGAAAAAGTTTCTAATTGCAAGTTGCTGCTAACAGAAGAAAAACAAGGGAAGACAACTGGAACATATAACTGCAAAGAGCTCCGTGCAAGTAGGAGAAAGAAGGGGAAGAGACAAGAAAAGAGCTGTTTTCTGAGCACAAGTTACCCAACAGGTTGCTGAGGCTAAAGACCAGGGCTCTGAGAAGACCCTGCTGATCAAAGACCCCATCTCTGAGCAGAGCAGGAGCAGGAGCAGGAGCAGGAGCAGGAGCAAGGAGCGGTGCCTGGGAGGTACGGGAGCAGCGAGCGAACGCTCAGCGGGCCCAGCTGCCCCAGCTCAGGGAGTCGCAAGGCCTGAGCATCACTCAAATTGTGCAAAGACAAACCTGTTAGCATGACCAAGCACTGCTGGGCTGTTCGTTGCCACATTTCTCTGTGTTTGCTGCATGGCTTTAGGGTGAATAAATAATTCTGGCTTTTGGAAAAAGTCTCGTGTTGGTTGCTGTCAAAGAAAAATGTCTTGCACATGTTAAAACATAAAGCCACCCGTATTTACCCAGCTTTTGAAGCTGTTTGCAGAGCTGGTTATCGCCCATTTGAAGCCTCCTTTCTTGCTAGGTCTGGGGCTTTGGTGATACCTGCCACACTCGCTGCCAGTTCTGGCTTTCCCAGCACCTCTTCTTTTCAGTTTTACGCACATTTTTTGATCACTGGGCTTACTTCTTCCTAATATACAAGCTATGATTTGCCTAAAAATATATCCCACCAACCAGGAGGCCTGCAAAAGTATGAATACAGAAAACAYGAGGGACTGGAGAATTGTCACTGTGTAGGAAAATGACCAATTTATTAAGATCTAAATAGTCACTCTGAGGCTACAGCAGAATAAATGCTGTTACAAACAAAGAAGCACTAGGGTCTAACACTTTATACTGCTGCTAACCAGCTCTCTGCTCTCATAGGTTTGCATGTTGTAAAACATTTAATGTTTTCCAAGTAATTAATCAAGACGTCAGATGTCATTTTAATACAAATTCCACCAAAGAAAAAAAAAACGTACAATCAAATGCATCACTGGTTGCCACTGCAAGATAAAAATCATTTAATAACATAACTATGGGAAATCGTTTTAAAAAACATATCTGTTAAATAGTAAGGTAAAACTTTAGCAGCATTTAAAAAATTTAAAAGTCCAAGGAGTATGTAATCTTAAATCGCAAAATGCAACACTCCGAGCTCCACTGCTGGCAGGATGAGTGTAAAATGAAGAGATGGAAGGTTTTTATTCCTCTGTCCAGGAAACAGGATGCCCCTATAGCCTGTGGATGCTGGAACAATGTTTGTACASATGTGGCCGTGTTCAAATCTTACATTTCTGCTTTCTAGTTCCTTGCTCTCATGCTAGTGGCTTCCCGCTTGGATAAAGAATCAAGTTGAAATCTTGAAAAAAAAAAGCGCACACCAGGAATTCGGAGCTGCCTGGCACACCTCACGTGCTCCTCCAGCAGTCCCTAGGTCTGTGAAGGTCCTGAGCAGCCCTCAGGAGAGTCACCAGCCTGGCCTTTTAGAGAAGAAAAACCAACCCAACTGGGAGCAAACCTGATTCCCAGCAGCACAGCTGTAAATACCCCGTCCTGTGAGCRCACGCTGAACAGAAACCACATTCACTCACGTTCCTTAAGAGCCTATATTGCCGCTTTTGCTTTTTACTCAGAAAAGGTAATGCCACAAAATCGCTTCTGAGCAAGGCCAAGCAATGGAGAGTAACTGAAGATGACTCTGAAGCCCACACAGAGCCCAGTCTGGATCCTGCATGGGAACCAGTGGCAGAGAACTGGCCTTCCTCTAGCAGTGTCAGGAGCTGCTTGACTGCATCTCCTTCCAGAATGACCCACACTAGCACTGCCTTCACCTGACTCTGGACACGTCTAAGTTCTCTCGAGTCCTTGGGTTGRTATCTGTGAATAATTTGTGATCTACTAGAGGGCCATGGAGAGAACAAGCATAACATTTCTGTACGCCCCATTTCCATTAAATGACCTCTGCATCAGTGCAGGTTTGGTGGTGGTGGTGGGTTTTCTTTTCCCACATGTGATGTTGACCTTTGCAGCCTCCTAACTTGGCCTTCCTCCTGTGGGTAGAGGCTTCCTGGCTCAGGCGAGCAGCTCTCAACACATTTGTTGGGTTCGCCACTMGCTGAGAACCTCGCTAAGTGGTGCCCAGCCCGACAGTGTCACCGCTCCTCAGCGATTCCTGCTCCCACGTACAGCAGTCATGGACTCAGTCCCACCAGGAAGGAGAGGCTGAGGATGCCGTTGTCCTACCTGAGGCCAAGGGGGACTTCTGGTTCTCAAAGACTGTCTTTTTCCCTTCTCAGTCACTAATCCTGTTTCTGAGACTCCTGATAAGCTGTACAAATCGCCTTGGCCTAAGGAGATCATGGGAAGGAAAGCGCAGTAYGTAAAACAGCACCAAAGCTGCATGTCGTGCCAACACCACTGCTGCCCTTTGGGGATTTCCTGCTGCTTAAGAGCAAAGAGATGTTTCAAAAAGGTTCCTTACGAGAAGCTGATGGCCAAGAAGTGAATTTCTATGCAGCACCAGCTGCGAGTTCCTCTAGCAGCACTGCTAGACTGGCGGCAGGACGTTGCTCCTGGCTCGCGCTGCTGCACGGCCATCCTTTGCACTCYGTAGGAATTAAAAGTGTTCTAACTCCTCCTGACCACGGCCCAGGAGAGCCCCAGGGTTGCGCTCAGCGGTTGCCAAACAGAAATTAGGCAAGAATTAAGTGCAAATGTCCAGGGCTGTGAGTAACGGTGTGCACATAAAGTCTACAGTCACTGCACTGCAGAGTAATGAGTTACTGAAAAAGCACTTGGAGCTAACTCAGGTATGAAAGGACCTCTATAAAATCAGATTCAGGTGTATAATTGAAAACCCGCTACTCCTTTGCACGTTCTTAGCAGTGTACAACACTATATATGCTTTTCATTTTATCCTCAAAGCTATAAATCACCTGCTGTGATCATTGCCCTCTCCAAAAAACTGGTATATTATTCGATTACATAAATACCTTAAGATTATAAAGCAACTGTGCACCACGTCTTGTGATCAAAACACACCTGACCTAAAGTAACTCGGGAATGCTCAAGGAGCTCTTTAGTGCACAAGCGAGTTCAGGACAAATCCCTTCTCTTGACTTAAAACATGCAAGCAGGAACGGCTGAAGGGAGATGAGCTTCGGTGACGGACACGCACGCGGTGGGCTGCGGAAGCGAGCCAGCAGCCCTGAGAATACGAGAAGCATCACATCCTGSTGCAGGAGACTTCTGCAGGACAACCAGCACTTGTGTTTTCCGCCTTCTGGCAAAAGATTGAAGGTTTGAAACCTGAGCAAGTCTGGTTTGTTCCCCCCAAGAGCCCTGGGTCTACCAGCCAGCAGTGAGAATAAGGCAGAAAGTGTGCAAATGAAAACTGAGCTCCGCTCTGCCCCGAACGCGGCCGCTGCGCCCAACGCCAGGGCTTGTGCTAACAGCAGGGATGGCCTGGGCTACTTCTGCATTTGGGCCAGCATCACTGGATCAAGCTTGAGATATGATGGTCCRTTACAGGGGAAAAAGAAAAATGAGGTACCGAGGAAGGTCAGATTCCCCTACAGATCTCCAGCCTCTACGGAAACTCTAGGGATTGTGCAGGACAGTACCTGGTGGGGCTGGGTGGCTTGTGTCTTCTCCCCTTCCCTGGCACTGCTGCAGCAGGGAATCCAAGCTTAGCATTTCTTCCTCTGCGTGGAGAAGCACTGGTTTGCTGCTCCTGGCAAAGACACACCGCGGAAAAGAAAGCAAGAGGAGGACTGCTGCAGCCTCCTTTTTCAAAGGCCTTGGTATTTCTGCTGAACCTCAAATGTGTCCCCTATCAAGGACAGGAGAGAAAAATAAAAAAATTAAAAAGTGTGTTAGCAAATGCTCCCATGCAAAATTCTAAACTTTATTCACTTTATTTATATATTTAACAACTCTAAAGTATTTACTTCTTGCTTTGACAAAAAAAAAAAGAAAAATATAGGAGCATTTTACTCTCTTTAGGAGAGAAGGGTTATATATATACAGCTATGGAGAGATACTGGTTCCTCCTTTACATACAAAGAAAAATAATATTAATAAAAAAGTGCTTCATTGATCAAAGAAAGACTAAGAGCTGCAAGCATTTATTCACACTGTACATCCCAGACCCCCCAGACCCGTATCAAACCCTCTTGGCACCTGTCACTAGGAACTGCAGAATCTGCGGCTTATTTTGGACTGCCTGCCTGCACCACAAACCCACACGTCCGTGTGTAAAACGCTACCACGTCTCCTAAAATCCAACTTCTCAACACCCACCTCAGTGGACGAGCCCAAGAGAGAGGAGCTGTACGCCCGCCCTTCCCCTTGCTCTGCTTTACTTCACAGCCTAACGCCTAAAGCTCTGCTCCAGGTACTGACTACCCTCTTCTAGGAACAAATACCTAAGTATTTGCTCAGAGCGCTACATCTCTGACCACACACCCCATCTTTGTCTTTGCCTTTTCCTCCCGATGATTAGAAAACATTTCAGAACATGTAGCAGGGATGATCCCGCCACCAGCTGCTCATCCCATAAGGATGGAGGCCGCTGTGCTCAACCAGCTTCCCGCACAGTCATTTTTGGCTTGTACATCTTCAGCTGCCGCTGCAGCAGGGTAACGATCCTCTCCAGGAGCGTGGGAAACATCACAAGTAAATTACCTG